CACTATTTTGCATACAGTTCCGATCTCTTGGACTACAGGGGTCCAAGAGATTTGTGGTCACTCATCGTTGGATGTAAATTCAACGGTTCACTCACTCTTGCACTCCTTTTAAAAAACTTTTTTGAACTGTTAGATTAACATCCAACGGTAGGTGACCACAATCTCTTGGACACCTGTGGTCCAAGAGATCGGGGCTGATTTTGCATATTGATATTGACTCATCAAATACTGCATGTTGCTTTTTTTATATCAGATCAAATACAGCAAAGTTAGTCATAGCTTAGTGGGTTTTGTAATATTTTTTCCTTCACGACCATAGTTGACAACTCAACCATAGAGATCTAACAACAGTACAGGTTACAGCCCAAAATGGCAAACCATGCCAAAAGCCCAGAAATAATAAAGGACACTAGAGAAGAACCCAAACAACTAAAACAAATGAAAATAAAGAACAAATACTAAAGGAACAAAATAAAGTCCAAAGTCTACATTTAAAAAGTTAAGTACTCTGAAACCAATACGCAAAGTGTAAGCCTGAGGTCTTGTTTACTAACACAAATGCATCATCTTGATCGTTCTTGCTTCAGCTCCCAATGATGAAGGTATTGATCAGAGCAGAGGCACAAACAAAAGAACCCACCAAAATATGCAAATCCTACAGTAAGTAAGAAAATCACAAATCATCAGAAAACTCCTCTTGATATATATAGATATCCACTACATCAGATGACTTGAAGCTTCAGAACTTATTCATTTTACCTTTTGATGTCAGTGAATGGCACCTCAGTGTCAGTTTGCTTTCAATTTTCATTTCAACTTTTTTCAATTACCTTTTAGTTCTTTTAAACTTAAAAAGAAAAAGAAAAGCAATTCAACCACATGCCACGCCGCATGGGAACTTGGATTATTAAGATTAGGTCCCGCCTTGATGACCCAGCTATTGGGAACGCGATCAATCTCTTCATTAGCAGAGTCAGATCATGGCAGAACCATACACAGATCAAATTCTGCATATTGCTTGTTTATATCAGATCAAATACGTACTGCAAATTTTTATTTATTTTTATTTTTATAACTACTCTAAATTAATCTAATCTACTGGAAGGTAACTCAAACTTGGGTGCAACGAGGTGGGATCGCTAAAATACTGCAAATTTGGCCAAAGCTGTATGGGTTTGTAATTTATAGTTCATGGTTGACTAGCCTCAATCTATTCTTAAATAAGATTGGTTTTGGACAATTTGACAATTTATATACATTGATAGACAATGGCAGCTTAGCTCCAAAAATGTCAGTAAAATGGGTTACCTTGCCTTCAACCTCTCCACCACTTTCAATTTCACAAGCTGTGAAGCCATGCAAGCATCAAGATTCACAAAAGCCACTCGGTTCCCCTGCGGCTCGGCCACAATGAACGTGCGAGCTCGCAACCTGAAGTGAACCCCCGAAGCGATCTGCTCCGTGTTCGCGTACCCCATCATGTTGACATCAGCAGCAGGACCAGTGATGTCGTAGCTCCCAAGACCAATCAAATAGTTCGAATCGGAGAGAGCTCCTTCAACACTACACAGAACGAGTAGAATTGCGATTTTGAGCCACAAAGCTCCATAAGTTCTCCGAACCTTGTTATCGCCGAGACCCAAAAACTCCATGGCAGCTCCTCCAAATAAACCGATTATAGCTTAACCATTTCCTTCCCTTGGAGAAACACACAAAATTAGCAAATTTTTGATGAAAAAAATTCGACACAGTTAGAGAAATAGTAAGAATTCCACTTCAAAATTGAACTGAAATGAGCTCTCATGCATTAGTTTGTACCTCAATACACTTTCAGGCAGTTTTCGCTGACCCGGTGCTTCAACAAAGCCAGTGATCAGAGAGAGAGAGAGAGAGAGGGAGAGGTGTTGGTGTTTGAGAGAGAAGAGCTTCAGAGCACACCTGCGTTTTGTTATGCAGTCAAAGCGAAGAAAAATATTACAGGTAGCTGGGAAGGGAAGGCACGCACGGATGCTTAAATATGGTTTTGGTAGTTGTCAGAAATTCTATTTTAAATGAATTTGTTGAATTGACGTGGCGGGCGGGGCCCTTGGGTGCATGGAACCGGCTGTGTACTGTGAGTCTCAAGTATTTGATTGGATCGGCTTAATGGGCTTGGATCTCGGATCTTGTCTTGCACTCGAGGGATATTTTTCTTTTCAATAATTTTTTTCCTAATTCAAGTCTCAATTGAATTTAACAGTATGTGTAAATTTTGATATTACTTGTTGATTGTCCCTTGAATTTTAAAATGAATTACTTTGTAACTAGAAACTCTATGTCAGTATGTAACTTGGAGTGATAGTTATGCTTTTAAAATTAGGTTCACATGTTACTATCTTTAAAAAGGAAAAATAAACACGTATAATTCATTTTACATTACGGTCGGTTTTCAAATACTATTTTACTAACTAGCTCTTAATATAATGATACATCTTCTCTCATTGTAGGAGATGCTCCAATTGCAAATCCATTCATCCATATTAAAAACAAAATTAATATTTGAAAATTCGAGAAAAGCACAACACGAGTCAAATCCATGAGACTTCAACGTGATTTACCTTGTATTAGAAGAAGAGCACAAAGAGAAAAGGCTTCTAAATTTGAATCTAAGCATAAAGAGCTCTTAGCATAATGGTATTTTTCTTCTTAATATTGAAAGAAATGTTTCAAATTTGAATCTCTCGTACCATTGATCCAATTAAAAAAGAATCTCTAATATAACGAAATAGCATAAATTAATCAACTTCTCATCAAATCGCCATGGACGTTTATCAAAAGTTCAAAACCAATAAGAGCAAAAAAACAAAACAACATTCTAACACAGTCCAATTGAGTGTTCAACGATCCATCATCCGGCTAAAGCTGTATATTTGATAGATAGATTGCTTCTTCCTCACAGCACAAAATGGCAATGTACATGAAGTAGACATCAGAGACACGTGTCACAAATTGAGTCAAAGAACATGGAATTTCCATCAATGCTTTGGTGTGATGATACTGATGAACACATAACTTTTTGTTTCCATTGTACATCACTAATGAAGCCCGCTAAGGCACGTCAATAGCCAGGTCTTATCTTCATGCTTGAAAAATACAAGAGTTGTAAAGTTAGCCTAGACCATGCCAAAAACGTACTACCATGAGGAAGGATCGTCGAACCTCTCTTGCAGATAAAGGTACAACACCAGGACATGTATAATCCAAAACAAGTACTCTAATACTTAATTGAGTCATTTCATTGCTTATGCTGGAAGCCACATTACATAAGTTAAGCAATATTCGAGACGTGAGAAATTATGAATCTAAAAAGTTGGGAATAAGAACGAGAAGGAATGAAACAGCTTCCTTAATTCTTTATTTTTAAGGTATTGTTTTTATAATCATGATTTTTGACTCCTTACGTGTTAGAAAACGAAATGGAAGTCAACAATCAAAATATTTATAATTTCCATTTCAAGTAAGTAAATAGCTTATTAATGTCATTTGAAAATGTAGTTACCTTTGCACCCGAGGTACTCTCCCCTTCCTCAATATTGTTTTTATAATAAATAAAAATTACTCAATAATGTCATTTTCTTTTCATTTAAGCTTAATGTAATTTTCAATTATATGTGGCATGGAGCCATATAATTTCCATATAAGACAAGAGAGTATGAAGATAACTTGTAACCATATTGATATTGTCTCATCAAACACTGCATGTTGCTTCTTTATATCCACTACATCAGATGACTTGAAGCTTCAGAACTAGACAAACATATTTGTGTTTCACAAAGCTAAACAACAGCAAAAAACCAGAAAAACAAAAACGAAACAGAAAGCATCACCTCATCATATTACGCAACCGAGCTGTCCGGGATTTAGTTCTGTCTTGGATGCCTGAGGAATACATTGGTGAGAGCAGAGTCACAAAGAAAAGAGGTCACCAGAAGATGAAAGGCCTGCTGCAGCAAGTAACAATACAAGAGATATCAACAATAAAACTACAAAGAATATGTATTTGAAGCTTCAAAACAAGAAGAAACACACACAATTAATGCATGAGCAGTCAAATTGAAGCAGTGGCAGAGAAAATTAGGTGTGTACAATGTAAGTGTAACCAAATTTTATCGACTGAAAAAATCATCAACTATAATGAGTTGCTGCAAAACTAAACTACAAACAAGAAGAACTAACCTCCTCCTTCCCAACCTGCACAGTTTGCACATCAATGGCAGAGAATGGAACCTTCAATGTCAGTTTGCTTTAAATTCCTTATTTAACCTTTTTTTCAATTGCCTTTTAGTTCTTTTAAACTTAAAAACAAAAGGAAAAACAATTCAACCACATGCCACGCATTGTTTGTTTGTTATTTCTGAGGAGGGAATTCTCATGGGAACTTGGATTTATTAAGATTAGGTCCCGCCTTTCATGACCCAGCTATTGGGAACGTGATCAATCTCTTCATTAGCAAAGCCAGATCATGGCAGAACCATACACATATCAAATACTTCGTGTTGCTTGTTTATATCAGACCAAATACTGCAAATTTTTATTTGATTTTTATAACAACTCTAAATTAATCTAATCTACGGGGAGGTGAACTCAAACTTGGGTGCAACGAGGTAGGCTCCTGCCCTAGCCAACTGGCCAATCCACACCCGCAAAAATACTGCAAAATTAGTCAAAGCTTTTATGGGTTTATATTTTTTCTTCACGACCATAGTTCATGGCTGACTAGCCTCAAGCTATTCAGAAATAAGATTGGACAATGACTATAACAAAATTTAACCAAACATAAGCTAAGACATAGATCTAGCAAAATAGTACACGTTTCTTACAGCCCAAAATGATCAAATGGCAAACCTTGTATGCAGGTCATACCATGTACACACAAAAGTTAATCTCAGATCAATAGCCTACTAGAATTCTTATGTAGTAACAACAAAGGCAACCTCTTCTTTGTAAGTATAACCAACCCGTCATTGTTCTTGCTTTGGCTCCCTAAGATCCGCAATGAAGGTATTGGTCAGAGCAGAGTCGCAAAGAAAAGAAGCCAACAAAAGATGCAAAGCCTGCAACAGTTACCAAATTCAAGAGTCAATGATCATATATAACTCATCTGGATAGGCATCCAGTATAAGTCTAAATCAAATGACTTGAAAATTCAAAACTTAACAGACACAAAGATAATATATATGCAGCCAAGCTGATGAAGTGAAATTAACACAATATTATAGTGGAGACATGTAACATTATAGTAGAAAAAAACTTCAGCAGCAATTATAAATAACTCACCTCCTTCTTGCCCACATGCACAATTTGATCCTCAATGTCAGTGACAGGCACATTCAAGTCTTTAAGAACTTGCAGCTCCAAGATCCGAGATATTGGTCTTACAACCAGATTGTCAGTTACTACAAACTTCGCGGGTCTCTTCAGAAATCCTTGAGCACTTAAATCCACGGAATCAGAACTGACCAGTTTGAGTTTATCTGGTTCCGATGGGAAAAGGTATCTATCAGTAGTGAAGGTATAACTATTTAAAGAGAAATAATTATAATATGAGGTCTCCTCAATTCCTAAAAGACTGTTCTTATAGCAAAAACCAGGAACAAGTTTGGGATCAAGTAGCATTTCCTTGTGGTGATCTGAAATCATGTATTCCTCATCCAAATCCTGGAATAGTTTTGTACAAGTGCCTGATGCAACCTTTCAAGGAACCATTCTTCATGTTTTTTACTATAAAACCAAGAGGTAGAGTTAGGAAACTGAAGAGCAAATTAACAAAATCCTCCCCTGCTTCTGCGTAACAGATCATCTTCTTAGATTTGCTGACCAGAAGATTCAAAGAAATCTTATCTTCTTCATCATTCACTAAGTCTCCGGACATGTGCAATTCAATATGTATTGCTTGATCAAAAATTGTACTGCTCCATTTAGGATCTTGTTTAGGCTTCAACAGGGTTTCAGTCAAAGGTGTTTTTGACACTAAGGAGCACATGAGCAAATTCAAAATCTGGAAAAGATAAACAGATCAGAAACAACGATACAGTTTTAAACAAAAACAAATAAGGCCTAGCCATCAATTACCTCAACAGTTCCAATATTGATAGTCAACTCCTCCATGGCATCCACATCCATGACACGAAGCTTAGTAAATACAGAATTGGCTGATGAGCTTGGGGGGATCACTTGTAAATCATCAGTAACTGTAAACCTGGTTTGTCCTTTCACAAAGACACTTCCATCTTGAGAAGCACAGAATGAAAGACTCCTCTCCTCATCCATAACATATCGTCTCGTGCAAGGACAGCGGATATTCTTGTAATAACTTAAGAAGTTACATGATCCGCAGCACATAAAGTAGCGTCTTGGCTTAGCATCGTCAAGTTTCAATTTGAGGGCATTGCACTGAGAATCAGCTGCATTGCGGGGATGCAGCAACATGTCTTTACATGTATGCATCCAAAATTCTTGATCGTCAAAATTCTCAACACTTGCATATAAGTTGTTCATGCAACCTATTGCCACAGGATCTGAATGTTTACGTGCAAGCCTGATAATTGTTCCCATGGGGATTGTCATGAAACTGAAGAGAACATCAACAAAATCATTGCCAGGCTCTATGAATATAACTTTGTTACTCCCCTTGTCCGCCAAGACCTTCAACTCAATACTGTTGGTAGATTTATCGGCCATGGACTGTAAGAAAAAGAAAAAAAAACTTGGATCAATATCCTCTCTCTATTCAAATCCAATTAGCAAATGACAGAAACTAAACAATAGTCGAGGAGAAGTGATCCAGATTCAAACTATAATCAACAACATTGCAAATAAATTTTAAGAAAGCAGAGGTAATATTCTAAATAATCAGGCACAATTACCGATCAAAGTAGTTCACTAACCTCTGAAATGTGAAAACTGTTTTTGCTGATATGAGAGACTACAAGAAACTTACTTGCCAAAGAGCCAAGGACTTACTTAGGCTGTCAAAATAGAGAGCGTTGCTTGTGGATTAAGTTTATAGAGGATGAATCTTTAAAGAAAAAAGGAAAAAAAAAACAAAGGGTAAAGCCAAGTTTCACTTGAGTGGAGCAGGACATTTAAGCTTTAGCTTTTCAATTAAACCTACGTATTCAATGTATGATGCATAACTAGGAAGAAATCTAGGGGCATTATTACTTACTTAGCTTTAATTGAAAAGCTAAAGTTAGTAATGCATTATTGAAAAGCTAAAGCCAGTCCCACAGTGACCTGCATAGTGCAGCTAAAGGTGTTGATAAGAAAAAAGAAAAAAAAAGGAGATACCAATAGCAAGAGCTTGGAGTTGAGTGGATGGTCCCCCCATGGCCCTTTTATTCATGGCTGGGGTGGGGACTTGAGATCTTATATGCATCTGATCTCCATGCTGGGAGAAAAACTTAGATGACAAGGCAAGCTTTTCACGTCAGGCAAAGAGAATATAAAGACAAGGGCTAACGACAAAAAAACCCCTCAATGTTTGGGTTCATTTGGGTTTTGGGTTTTAATTTCATCAAATTACATCTTGATGTTTTCAAACTAGACCAATTTAAGCATTCCATTTGGGTTGACCTTGTGATAAGTGGCCGCTGTGGGACCCACTCACAATATATAAAATGATAAAATATAAGAACAGAGTAAATAAATTGCCCTCAGGGTCGTTTTGGATTTGAGAAACAGCAACCATGAACGACTTGTTCTCAGGGTCGTTTTCGCGGTTCCGGAGCAAGCAGAACTCGAACGACGGGATTAAGTCTTACAACTTACCACTGGTCGATGAAATTAAAGAAGATACCACATGCAAACAGAGTCCTATTTTAATACAAGCTTTTAGAAGAGAAGATGAAAAGAACTAAAGATAGATCCTCATATGGACCTTATATTAACCAAGCTCTCATTATTATTGCTTCGGCTCCCAATGCAGGTATTGATAGAGAAGAGGCACAAACAAAAGATGCAAAGCCTGCAATAAGCAAGAAAATCACTAGTCATCAGAAATCTCCTCTTGGTAGATATCCACTAAATCAGATTACTTGAAGCTATTAGAGACGCGTATACTCTATGTGCAGTCAGGTTGATGTGGCATTCATAAAAACACAAACAATATCTGTAGATTGATTCAAATCATCAACTGTAATGAGCATAGTCACTTGGCAAATTAGAGGTGTAGGTTACTAAGATGACGATGTCCTTGTTCGTTGATCCACTATAATTCATGGTTGGTTATAATTTTGTGATTTACAAAGTTTTAAAGACAACTTAGACCTCAGCCAAAAAAACAGAAAAACAAAAACAAAACAGGAGGGCATGGAAAGTGCAAAAAAGTTACACCAATGGGCATCATATTGGCCTATGGTTCCAGTTTGTAGCAACAAAAGCATCACCTCATCATATTAGGCAATCGAGCTGTCCGGGATACAGTACTTTATTTAATATGACTGAGGAATACACTGGTGAGAGCAGAGTCACAAAGAAAAGAGGTCACCAAAAGACGAAGGGCCTGCAGCAAATAACAATCCAAGAGACAACAACAGTTAAACTACAAAGAATATGCACGTGATGAAGCTTCAAAACTAGAAGAAACACAGACAATGCATTAGCAGTCAAATTAAAGCAGTGGCAGAGAAAATTAGGTGCGTACAATGCAAGTGTAAGGGACTGAAAATCATCAACTATAATAAATTGCTACAAAGTTAAATTACAAAAAATAACTAACCTCCTCCTTCCCAACCTGCACAGTTTGCATCTCAATGTCTGCAAATGGCACTTTCAATTCGTTCAAAACAGAAACGCCAAAGAGAGGAGATATAGGCCTTATCATAAGACTGTCAGTTATTGTAAACATCGCCGGTCTACTCAAAAATCCTGCTTCACTTTTGTAATCGCCTAGGGATTTGCAATACTTCAGTTTGAGTGGAACTCTGTAATTAGAAGGGGTAAGGGTTTTATCATTAGTAAATATTTCCAGGACAGTAGTATGCCTAAGGTAACGTGCATAATAATATAAGGCTTCCTGGCCATCCTCAATTCCTAAAAGATGGTTCTCATAGCCAAAACCAGGATAAAGCTTGGGAGCGATTAGAATTTCCTTGTGGTAATTTGACTTTAAGTATTCCTCATCAAGATCTTGGACACTCTTGTACAACTGATCAATGCAGCCTTTCGTAGAGGAAGAGCTATCCTGCATCTCTTTTAGTACTAACCCAAGCGTAACAGTTAGGAAACTGAGGAGTAAATTAACAAAATCCTCCCTTGCTTCTGCATAACAAACCATTTTCTTAGATTTGCTAACCAAAAGATTGACAGAAATTTTTTTTTCCTCCTTCACCGTGTCTCCTGTCGTTTGCTGCTTAAAACCTATTCCTTGCTGAACACCTTCACTGCTCAGTTTTGGTTCTGGTTTATGCTTCAGCAGAATATCCGTCAAAGGTGTTTTAGACACAAATGAGCATATAAGCAAATTCAAAACCTGGAACAAGAGACTGGGTCAGAGAGAGCCACTTGTAAACAAAAGGAAAAGTTGACATAACAAGATGGCAGTTCAATTACCTCATCAACTCCTACATTGAAAGTCATCTCCTCAGTAGTGGTTGCATCCATCACACCAACCTTAGTAAGGAAAGAAGAGACTGGTGAGCTTAATGGGGGCATCACTTCTAAATCATCACTTACTATATATCCGCTAAGTCCTTTACAAAAGACACCATCATCCGAAAAAGAGGAGCTTTTCAACTTTCCCACTGAAAGAGACTTCTCACGATCCATGGGTTTTCCACACTCACAAAGAACATCTTTGTAATGACTAAATAACTTGTATCTGTGGGTGCAATCATCAGAGCACAAAAAGTATTGCGTGGGATTGCCATTGGTAATTTTCAATTTGAGATTCTCACAATGAGATTCAACCCCGTTGCGGGGACATAACAACATTTCTCTACATGATTCAGTTGGGAAAACACGTGCATCAGCATGCTCAACTCTTGCATACAGATTTTTCATGCAACCTATTTCCAGTGGTACTGAACGTGTACAAGCAAGCCTGATAATTGTTCCCATTGGAATTGTCAAGAAACTGAAGAGAACATCAACAAAATCATTATCAGACTCTATGAAGATAACTTTGTTGCTCCTCTTTTCGACCAAGGCCTTCAAGCTAATGGTGCTCACAGATTTATCACCCATGGATTGTAAGATTTGGCTTCGTTTTGTCAATTCTCTGTACAAATTGTTAGAGTTTGTATAGGAAAATACACTTGCATGTAGTCCCACATTGGAAGAGAGTAGTTTTCTTCCATAGTTTATAAGCACCAACACATTAGAATTACTAAATAGAGTATGGGCCTAGTGGAGGCAAACTTGAGCCTCAACATGGTTTGAGCTTGGATTATATATATATTTGTGTAATAAATATATATATAATTAATTGTCAAAAGATGGGCCTTGGGGCTCTGTTGATTTAATTAATAATTTATTTTTATTAATTGAAAATTCGGTTTTTTCAGATAAAACCAAAATCTGAAATTCGAATTAATTAAAACAGTTAACATAACTGTTGGATGAAGAGGTGTCAGACCTCTATATAATGACAATACGATCAAACCAGAAATATACTTTTGAACTGCATCATCATTCTCACATTTTACACTTCCTGAGAGAATTCATACCACTGTTTGCCAGAAATCAAGCCACTGTGCTTAGGCTTAGATTTAAGATAGTTTAATCCTGGTGGACAGACTCCTATCGAACTACAAGCACAAGGGTAGAGGAGAAATATTGTCTAAAGGACACTGCAAATCTGCAGGACTCTATCTACAATTCAAGTCAGTATTCTACAATCTATATTATTGCTGTATTGATTCAATTATATCTATATAAAATATAATCGTTGGTTTTTATTATTCTGTTATTTTGGTTTTATATTGATTGTTATCATACACAAATTCACTAACCAAAACATGAAAGGAGCTTCAATATACTAATCTACTGCCTGGAAAGACAGAGTTTTCCAGCATTTATAGTTTAATAAATAGGCAGAGCTCAAGTAGATAACAAATATGATTTAAATTTAAAACAGGTAATGACTGTTTCTATCAAATTTAAAGCATGCAATGCAATTTCAGTATGGATATATATTCTACTGGCTACATGTTCAGTCATGGAGGAAGTGAAACGGGAGCGCTTCTTTTTTCCTTCTTTCCTATCCTAGTCATAACAAGTTAACAACTATATATTTCTCACTGAGCTAGCCTGAGGAGTTTAACACTACATCTCTAGACAAGGACCAATTCGACAAAGAGAGTAACTCCGACTCCTACTGATGTTGACATACTGATATCAAGCAGATTACTCATTTGAGTCCAAACATCTCAAAAGAAATGGAAAGAAACAAGGATCAAACCTTTTTGGGAAAACTGCCGAGCCGAAGTAATGGATGAAGGTGATGAAAACACAAAGACTTAAAAAGAAAGAGTCAGCTGAAAGTTAAAAGCTTCTGAAGTAGAACTTGTAGAAGAAGGTCATGAGCACGGAGAGATTGTAAGGTGAGTGAGGGTGCAGAGGTGCATATTTATGACCCACCATTTTAGCTTTCCAAAAGGAAAGTATTAGTTTCATTACTTAACTAGGAAGAAATTTATGCCAACGGTAGTGGTAGTGGTGTTTGGCCTCAAACTTTGGGTTGAGAGATTGGGAGTTATTTCCCCCTCCCCCTTTCTAACTATGATAAATAATAAATAAAAAAATGAGGAAGAAATATGGCCCCACTATGCTCTGTAATCATTGGAATTAAATGTAGAATTATGACTTGGTTCGAGAATTGAACTTCTTGGGAATAAATTTCACATGTTTAATCTCACGAGATGGGAATGGAGGATGTTACCAACTAACCGGGCTAACACCTAACTGGCCGAAGGAATTAAACAGGCAAGAACTTGTGATGTAACTTTAAAATAACCACACAAAAAATGAAAAAAAAAAGCAAGAACTTGTCTGCATGGCCCGTTTCTTCATGGCGGAGGCCCTGAGATTTTATATTGTATGCTGAATCCTCCACGGCCCAGTTGGCCCCATTTCATTGACTGGGCCTCTAATCAATAGATAGGGAAGTCCTCGGCTTCTACTATTGAAAAAGATCTTGGTCTGTGTATGGCATTTGGAAAGAGATTTCATCCCCATACATTTCATCCTTGAAGAACTCTTTTTTTTTTTTACAACTTCACTTCTCCTCTTTCTTTCTTTTTTTCCTTTTTTTCTCTAGAAGAAAAACAGAGCCCGCATTATTATTACATACAGCAGGTCATTCATGAAACAAACGTTCATTAAATATTCTGCATAAAGAAATCTTTACTAGCAATTGAACCCATGACTATAAGTCTGCTACAAATATTAGTATGCCAGCATTAGCATTATCCATAAGGAAGCGCAAACACAGTATCATCCATACTGGAGTTCCAGTTTGTATAAAGGGGAAGCATCATCATCATTTAATAGATAAGCAAGCTCTCTTCATAGACTTTTCTTGATTCAGCTGCCTAATGAAGACATCGGTTAGAGCAGAGTTGCTAAGAAAAGTAGCCACCAAAAGACGCAAAGCCTACGATAAGTAACAACACAAGAATCATCAACAATTAAAAAGGGAGAAGGGTGCAGTGAAAAGAGCAACATGAAAATTGAAAACAATTAACTCACCTCCTTCTTGCCAACCTCAACAGTTTCCTCCTTTATGTCAGTGAAAGGTACCTTCAATTCATTTATAATTGAAAAGCCAAAGAAAGGAGATGCAGGCCTTATGATCAGCTTGTCAGTTACCATGAACGCCGTTGATGCTTTCAAATACCCTTGAGTACTTTTATCATGCTTCAATTTGAGTGGAAGTGTCACTGCGTTAGAAGGGATGAGTTTTTTATCAGTAGCCAATATATCCCGCAAACGCCCATCCAGCCAATATGCATAATAATACGAGGCCACCGGGCCATCCTCAATTCCTAAAAGACGGTTCTCGTAGCAAAAACCAGGATAAATCTCAGGACTCAGTAGAATTTCCCTGTGGTAATTTGACTTCAAGTGCTGCTCATCAAGATCTTTGACAGATTTGTGCAACTGATCAATGCACCCTTTGAAAGAGGCATCCCTCATATGCTTTACTATGAAACCAAGTGGAACAGTCAAAAAACTGAAGAGCAAATTAACAAAATCCTCCCCTGCTTCTGCATAACAAACAATATTCTTCGATACGCTGACTGTCAGCTTAACAACAATATTTTCCTCTTCTTCTTCCTTATTCATCGTGTCTCCAAGCAGTAGAGATTCAATACGTCTCAATATTAGTTGATCCAGATTCAAAAGGCTCAAATTCGGATTTGGTACAGGATTATGCTTCAGTATAGTTTCGGACAGAGGTTTCTTTGATACTAATGAGCGCAGAAGCAAGTTCAAAACCTGGAAAAAATACCATGAGGTCAGAAACCACAAACACTACAGTTGTATTAAAAGAAAAATAAAACAATTGGCAAACAGCATTCAATTACCTCATGAGCTCCTATATTCAAATTCTGTTGTTCAGTTGTGCTATTCTCATTCATGGCTCCAAGCTTTGTAAATACAGGATTGCTTGCCATGGATAACGTGGACATCACATGTAAATCATCAGTAATTAGGAACCTAGCTGATTCTTTAACAAAGATGCCCCCATCTTGCTCAGCAGAGGATGAAACTGACAGTGTGAACTTCTGATTCATGCATCTTCCACATTGACAAAGAACACCTTTGTAATGACTTATTGACTTATTTTCGAAGATGCATTGCCAACTATCACACACAAAGTACCCTGTCGGCTCATCATTGTCAATTTTCAGTTTGAGGTTTTTGCAATGAGATTCAGCCCCATTGTGGGGACATAGCAACATCTCTTTACATGCTTCAGTCTGGAAATGCCGAACATCGATATTTGCAACACTGGCGTACAAATTGCTCATGCAACCTATTTCCAGCGGTACTGAATGTTTATGGGCACGCCTGACAATCGTTCCCATTGGTATTGTCAAGAAACTCAAGAGAACATCAATAAAATTGTTATCAGACTCTACGAAGATAATTGTGTTGCTCCCCTTGTCCACCAAGGCCTTCAAGCTTATAACATTCTTCACAGCCATTGATACTGTAAGAAAGTACAAATTTGGCTTTTTTATCCTTTCCTTGTACAAACTCAGGGCAGAGCTTGAGCAGATAACAAGTACATGAAAAAGGCGACCAATATTTTTATGAAGAGAAATATTTGGGGAAAAATTCATCAAATATAATCGATCTTTCTCAATAAATTTGCACATCGGTTTCTTTTGTGAATTGAAATTATTGTCATGCTTTTCTATTCTTTTCTTGATCTAATCCATCTTCTCTAATTAAAGTGAAATTAATTTTTGTAAGCATGTTGCATGGTTTCATCACATTAACTAGTAGGAAAAGAAAAATAGGCAGCATTAACGTATTGATCTACAGGTTCTGCTGTGCAGGAAATGAAAAGTCCTCCCTCATGTTCAATTTTAAGGAGGATCTGTTTTTTTTTTTTTTTTTTTTTTTTTTTTTTTTTTTTTATACGAAAGTGGTGGGCGAAAGACTGTATGCATCATTCAAACCAGCGAAACCAAACCACTTATGGCAGTTTTGTTTGGTTTTTACAGTAAAAAACTGTAATCATAAATAGGTTCGAAAAATCGGCCTAGGCAGCGCCTAGGCGCTTGGCGAGAGGACACCGCCACAATTTCACCCTAATCATTAAGGGTAGGCGCCAGGGAGTTAGGCGGCGCCTGGGCGCCCGCCTAGGCGGCCTTAGGCTGCTCTAGGCGGGTCTAGGAGGCCTAGGCGGGTCTGGGCTGGAGTTTTTCCGTTGAGGCGTGGACGAAGGGCGGTTGAAGAGCGCAGGATCCGCTGCTTGTCAGGAAGAAAGACGGAGAGAGAGAGAGAGATCGAGACAGAGAGATGAAATCGAAACAGAGAGAGGAAGGAGAAGGCGACGCTGGGAAGAAGAAGATATCTGACCTAATTTTTAATATAACTAACGGGTTGGGTTTTGTAAAATGGCCTTAAACATTGTATTAAAATGGGCCTATTTTTACTTTTTTAATTATTTAAAATATCAACGTTACTGAAAATACAAAAATAAAGGTCAGATAATATCAAGGTTGGAAAATATTAAAGTTTTCTTTTATATATCTTATTATTTTGCATGATTTTGGTATAAATTTAAAATTTATAATACAAAATAATTATTTAAAAAAAGGGTGCCTAGGCCCAATTACTCCTCTAGGCTCTAGGCCCATGCTTGCCGCCCACCTACCGCCTACGCATTTTTCGAACATATATTAAAAAAAGACGAGCACATATATGAAAATGGTCCTTTTCCAAATAAAGCCCACACCCTTAAGACACCTAAATGCAGCATTGCATTCCTAATCATGATTCCTAGTTGGGATAAGTTATGAGAGAGATGGAAATTTAAGAAAGAACAAAAAAAAAGAATATGATGTCGAGAAACAGTAATGGCACAAAGAGTATACCATTAAATCCCATATCAATATTTTTGCATATAATCAGTCGAAACAGCTCCACATCATAGAAAAGAGACATTGAAAAACCTAAAACTGCCGAAGTAACGGATGAAGCTAATGAAAACACAAAGACTTAAACAAAGGACTTGGAGAAAGTAATATAAGTAGGAAAGGATCATGAGTTTGGAGAGATATTATAGCGAGGATCACTTGAGTGGGGGTGCAACGTTATGACCCTCCATCCTTTGCTTTTGAAAAGGGAAGCATTCATTACTTGACTAGGAAGAAATCTCCAGCTTCACCGTAACCTGCAGATTCCAATCTCTGAAATTAAGCATAGCATTCTGACTTCAACTTCCAGCTAAAGAGGTGTTAATGGAATCTCCAAAGGAGGCATCAAAGGCAAGAGCTTGTGATGTCTTCATTAACACATTAATTTGAAATTAGCTCCTTGCATGGTCCCATGGTTGAAATCCTCCACTTCTCATTGACTGAGATCAGTGCAGAGGGAAGTCCTTGGCTTCTACTGTTGAAAGGATTTTGGGTCTAGTAGGCAGCAGCAGAAGCCACTGTGCATGGTATTTGGAAGAAGATTTCGTCCCCATATCATCCATTAAGAACTCAATACTTATTACAACTACTTCTCCTTCCTTTTATTTATTTTTCATTAGTTTTTTTATTTTAGTTAACTTTCATCAATTTTGTGTAAATCAGGTAGGCCTCCGCTTACTTAGTTTTTCTAATGAGATTGATGAAATTAATTGCTAATTGCAACTACAGCAACAACTGATGAAGTCGATTGAATTATGTATAGAAATAATACAATTCTTAGAAGAAAAACAAGCCGGCATTAATACAGCAGGTCAATCATATAACAAACGCTCATTAAATATTCTGCACAAAGAAAACCTCTACAGCAGTCTTCATCTATTAGATAACCAAGCTCTCTTTATTAACTTTTCTTGATTCAGCTGCCTAATGAAGACATCGGTTAGAGCAGAGCCTCTCAGAAAAGCAGCCACCAAAAGATGCAAAGCCAACGATATCAGTAACAACACAAGAATCATCAACAGTTAAAAGGAGGAAGGGTGCAGTGAAAGGGGCAACCTGAATTCTATAAACGTAATTGAGTGAAAATTATAAAAAATAACTCACCTCCTTCTTGCGAACCTGGACAGTTTCCTCTTTTATGTCAGTCAAAGGTACCTTAAGTGTATTCAATTCATAAAAGCCAAAGGCAGGAGATATTGGTGTTATGAACAGATCATCAGTTACCATGAACACTGTCGAACCTTTCAAATACCCTTGAGGACTTTTATCATGCTTCAATTTGAGTGGAACTGTCACAGAGTTAGAAGGGATGAGGGCTGCATCTTTTGTCAATATATCTTTCAAACGCCCCTCATCATCCTTCCAATATGCATACAAATATGAGGCTACCGGGCCATCCTCCATTCCTAAAAGACGATTATCATAGCAAAACCCAGGATAAATCTTAGGACTCAGCAGAATTTCCTTGTGGTAATTTGACTTCAAGTGCTGCTCATCAAGATCTTTGACACTATTGTACAACTGATCAATGCATCCTTTGAAAGAGGCATCCCTCAAATGCTTTAATATGAAACCAAGTGGAACAGTCAAAAAACTGAGGAGCAAATTAACAAAATCCTCCCCTGCTTCGGCATAACAAACATTATCCATTGAGACGCTGACTGTCAGCTTAACAGCAATCTTTCCTTCTTCCTCCTCATTCATTATGTCTCCAAGCAGTAGAGATTCAATACTTGTCAATATTAGTTGATCAAGGCTCAAAGTCGGATTTGGAATTGGTACAGGATCAAGCTTCAGTAGAGTTTCAGACAGAGGTCTTTGATACTAATGAGCGCAGAAGCAAGTTCAAAACCTGGAAAAATAGACCATGAGGTCAAAAACCACAAACACTACAGTTGTATTAAAAGAAAAATAAAACAATTGGCAAACAGCATTCAATTACCTCATGAGCTCCTATATTCAAAGTCTTTTGTTCAGTGGTGCTGTTCTCATTCATGGCTCCAAGCCTTGTACATACAGGATTGCTTGCCACAGATAACGGGGACATCACACGTAAATCATCAGTAATTATGAACCTAGCTGATTCTTTTACAAAGATGCCCCCACCTTGCTCAGCAGAGGATGAAATTGAAAGTGAGCACTTCAGATTCATGCATCTTCCACATTGACACAGAACACTTTGTAATGACTTATTGACTTATTTTCGAAGGTGCATTGCCAACTATCATACAGAAAGTACCCTGTCGGCTCATCATTGTCAATTTTCAGTTTGAGGTTTTTGCAATGAGATCCAGCCCCATTGTGGGACATAGCAACATCTCTTTACATGCTTCAGTCTGGAAAAGCACCCAAACACTGGCAGACAAATTATTCATGCAACGTGATACTGAATGTTTAGTGTCACGCCTGACAATTGTTCCCATTGTTATTGTCAAGAAACTCAAGAGAACATCAATAAAATCTTTATCAGACTCTACGAAGATAATTTTGTTGCTCCCCTTGTCCACCACGGCCTTCAAGCTTTTCTTCACAGTTTTATCAGCCATTGGTAATGTAAGAAAGTACAAAGCGGTAAGTTGTTTCCTGCTTAAACATGAAAGGACTTCAAAATACAATTCAAGAATGGCGAAAGAGAGACAAAGTTTTGCAGAATCAATAGCTTGAAAACAGGTCAGAGCTTGAACAAGTATATGATTCAACTCTAAAACCAGCGACCAACATTTTTATCAACATGGCTAGTCTGATCCAGAGTTATGTAGTCCATGAGGAGATTTTGAATGATTAACCTTTTGGGAAAGCTTCATGAAATTCACCAGTCTTTCTCAGTAAATTTGCAGGTCGGCTTTTCCATTTCTGTTTTATATTAATCTGTCTTCTAATTAAAGTGAAATTAATATTACTAGTGGGAAAAGAAAATTAGGACAGGTTCTTCTGTGCAGGAAAGGAAAAGAGCTCTTTCAGTATGCAAGAAATTAATGGACAATTATAATGGAAAATGCTCAACATCGTAAGTACATTTAGAAAACAAAAAAAGACATGGAGTTCAAAGTTCAAACCTTTTTGGGTAAAACTGCCAAAGAAAAGGATGAAGCTAAAGAAAACACAAAGACTTAAAGAAAGGGCCCGCAGAAAGTAATATATGTAGAAAAAGATCATGAGTCTGTAAAGATATCAGAGGGAGGATCACTTGAGATGGGGTGCATTTTATGACCCTCCATCCATCCTTAACTTTTGAAAAGGGAAGCATTCATTACTTGACTAGGAAGAAACATCCCGCTTCACCGTAACCTGAAGATTTCAATCTCTTAAACTAAGAATAGCATTCATAAATAAGATAAGAATAATACAATTCCAAGAAGAGAAGAAAGCAAATAGCCTACATAAGATGCATCAGGTCAATCATGAAGCAAAATTCCATTAAAATATCAGAATAAAGAAACATCCACCTCCACCAGCACTTGAACCAGTGAGTAATATCCGTAGCACTGACACAAGAAAGTACAAACACATAATAAACCATATACTGGAGTTCCAGTTTGTAGAAACAGGAGAAGCATCATCATCTCTATACAGAGTTTATTGTTCTTGCACTGGCTGCCTAATGAAGACATCGGATAAGCTCCTATATTCAACGTCTTTTGTTCGAACTGATGTCATGGGGATTGCAAACAAAGACCTCAACCACTGAGGTAAACACCCCAAATATAGAATTATGACTTTAAACTTCAGCTAATGAGGTGTTAATAGAATCTCCAAAGGACACTTTTTTCTGAAAAAAATCCAAAGGAGACTTTTTTTTTTGAGTTACAACGATATGCTAATTCTAAGGGGCAGGAGGATGTGGTGATGCTCGAACCCCGCTCAAACCCAGGACTTCCTGGGTGGTAAGGGTAGTTCCCAACCAACTGGGCTAACACCTTACCGGCCTAAACCCCTTGGCTTCTACTGTTAAAAGGATCTTGGTCTGTGGTGTGCTGTGTATGGTATTGGAAAGTGATTTCATCCCCGCACATATCATCCTTAAAGAACTCATAGTGTTTTACAACTTCACTTCTACTCTTTCTTTCTTTTTTCTCTAGAAGAAACCAGTTCCTAGAAGAAAAACAAAGCCTACATTATTATTACATACAGCAGGTCATTCATGAAACAAACGTTCATTAAATATTCTGCATAAAGAAATCTCTGCTAGCAATTGAACCCATGACTATGAGTCTGCTACAAGTATTAGTATGCAACCATTAGCATTATCCATAAGGAACTGCAAACACAGTATCATCGATACTGGAGTTCCAGTTTGTATAAAGGCGAATCATCATTATCATTTAATGGATAAGCAAGCTCTATTTACAGACTTTTCTTGATTCAGCTGCCTAATGAAGACTTCGGTTAGAGCAGAGTCGCTAAGAAAAGTAGCCCCCAAAAGACGCAAAGCCTATGATAAGTAACAACACAAGAATCATCAACAATTAAAAAGGGAGAAGGGTGCAGTGAAAAGGGCAACATGAAAATTGAAAACAATTAACTCACCTCCTTCTTGCCAACCTCAACAGTTTCCTCCTTTATGTCAGTGAAAGGTACCTTCAATTCATTTATAATCGAAAAGCCAAAGAAAGGAGATGCAGGCCTTATGATCAGCTTGTCAGTTATCATGAATGCCGTTGATGCTTTCAAATACCCTTGAGTACTTTTATCGTGCTTCAATTTGAGTGGAAGTGTCACTGTGTTAGAAGGGATGAGTGTTTTATCAGTAGCCAATATATCCTGCAAACCTCCATCCTCCGGCCAATATATGCATAATAATATGAGGCCACCGGGCCATCCTCAATTCCTAAAAGATGGTTCTCATAGCAAAAACCAGGATAAATCTTAGGACTCAGTAGAATTTCCCTGTGGTAATTTGACTTCAAGTGCTGCTTATCAAGATCTTTGACACATTTGTGCAACTGATCAATGCACCCTTTGAAAGAGGCATCCCTCATATGCTTTACTATGAAACCAAGTGGAACAGTTAAAAAACTGAAGAGCAAATTAATAAAATCCTCTCCTGCTTCTGCATAACAAACAATATTCTTCGATACGCTAATTGTCAGCTTAACAACAATCTTTTCTTCTTCTCCGCATCCATCACGTCTCCAAGCAGTAGAGATTCAATACGTGTCAATATTAGTTGATCCAGATTTAAAAGGCTCAAATTCGGATTTGGTACAGGATTATGCTTCAGTATAGTTTTGGACAGAGGTTTCTTTGATACTAATGAGCGCAGAAGCAAGTTCAAAACCTGGAAAAAAGACCATGAGGTCAGAAACCACAAACACTAATAGCTTGTAAAACAGGGCAGAGCTTGAGCAGATAACAAGTAAATGAAAAAGGCGACCAATATTTTTATGAAGAGGAATATTTGGGGAATTCATTAAATATAATCAATCTTTCTCAATAAATTTGCAGATCGGTTTCTTTTGTGAATTGAAATTATTGTCATGCTTTTCCATTCTAATCCATCCTCTCTTATTAAAGTGAAATTAATTTTTGTACGCATGGTGCATGGTTTTATCACATTAACTTGTAGGAAAAGAAAAATAGGCAGCATTAACGTATTGATCTACAGGTTCTGCTGTGCAGGAAATGAAAAGTCCTCCCCCATGTTCAATTTTAAAGAAGGCTCTGGTTTCTTTTCTTTTTTCTTTTTTTATACGTATTGACCGTATGCATCATTCAAACTGACCAAACCAAACCACATTTTTTTTGGACAAAAAACCAAACCACTTATGACAGTTTTGTTTGGTTTTTACACTAAAAAACTGTAATCTTAAATAGGTTCGAAAAATCAGCCTAGGCTACGCCTAGGCGCTAGGCGGGAGGACACTGCCGCTATTTCACCCTAATCATTAGGCCAGGAGTTAGGTGGCGCCTGGGCGCCCGCCTAGGCTGGTCTAGGAGGCCTAGGCGGTTCTAGGCGGCCTAGGAGGGTCTAGGCGGCCCTGGGCGGGCGTTTTGCCATTGAGGAGCGGACGAAGGGCTGTTGAAGCACGCAGGAGCCGCTGCTTGTTAGGAAGAAAGATGGAGAGACAGAGAGAGGAAGGAGAAGGCGACGCTGGGAAGAAGACGATATCTGATTTAATTTTTAGGAAAATGCTAGGGAGACCAACTTTAGATACCAACTTGTGTACCATGTCTCTAATAGAGCGTGGGACCCATTGTATGGGTGGGTTCCACCTCTATTAGAGAGATGGTACACAAGTTGGTATCTCTAGCATGACCCTAATTTTTAATATAACTAACATGTTGGGTTTTGTAAATTGGCCTTAAACATTGTATTAAAATGGGCCTATTTTTCCTTTTTTTGCAGTTTTTTTAAATATCAAGGTTGGAAAATATTAAAGTTTTCTTTTATATATCTTATTATTTTGCTTGATTTTGGTATACAAAATAATTATTTTAAAAAAAGGATGCCTAGGCCCTGATTACTCCTCTAGACTCTACGCCCATGCCTGCCACCCACCTACCGCCTACACATTTTTCAAACATATATTATAAAAAGACAAGCATATATATGAAAAGAGTGCTGCTAAATGAACCCTAAAATTAACTGAGTGCACCCTACTACCAAACTATTTATTGAATTACTAATTTACCCTAATATAAAATGACCTAAAAGGATATATTGAATTGTAAAACAAATATAATTTAATAAGTACACCCTACTCGCCATATCCAACCCTAATCAAACGTAGAGAAGTTTTCATTTTGCTTGATGCCGACGGCAAACAACGCAATGAGCATTGGCGGTAATGCAAAGAGGTGTCATTGAATGTTTGTTTGCTTGCCTCTTCCTTTGCCAACCAACAGCCCTCCATTGCTGCCCAACAAATCCTCCATTAGACATGAAGGTTAAAGAAATTATTAAAAGACCAAATCTGAAAGTGGAAGACCATCTAACTATTCATATAACAATCATTGAAGATATTAGTTGGATCTAAAGTTCAAATATAAGAAGGCATTTGGGAATTAGTTTTCAAGTTTTCATTTGAATCAAGTTTGCAGTAGCTATTAGACCCATATGGCCTGTTGTCGAACTAGTTTGAACAAATTCGTTATTTGAAGACTAAATCAAAACCCCATTAAGATGAGAAAAAAAAAAACAAGAATTTGCAGAACAAATAAAAACCCAAATTTGTTCAAATTGATTCCTTTTAATGTGAAGAACAAAAGCTTTAGAAGAAATTAAAATATGACGTGGCAAATTAGATGTGATATAGTGTATTAGGGTGTACCAAGGGTATTTTTGGTAGTTAAATAGGGTGTACTTAGTTAATTTTACATTTTGATTTAAATGTTAAGGTATACTTAGATCATACGGTGTACTAAGTTAATTTTAGGGTTCGTTTAGCATCACTATATGAAAATGGTCCTTTTCCAAATAAAGCCCACACCGTTAAGACACCTTAATGCAGCATTGAATTCCTAATCGTGACTTCTAGTCGGGATGAGTATATGAGAAATTTATGAAAAAAAAAAAAAAAAAAAAAAAAAAAAAAAAGAATATGATGTCTAGAAATAGTAATGGCACAAAGAGTAAACCATTAAATCCCATATCAATATTTTTGCATATAATCAGTCCAAACAGCTCAACATCATAAGTACATTTAGAAAAAGAAAAAAGAAAAAAAAAGGACATGAAATTCGAAGTTCAAACCTTTTCGGGTAAAACTGCCGAAGTAACGGATGAAGCTAATGAAAACACAAAGACTTAAACAAAGGGCTTGCAGAAAGTAATATAAGTAGGAAAGGATCATGAGTCTGGAGAGATACAGCAACAACTGATGAGGTCGATTGAATTATACAGCAGAAACAATACAATTCTTAGGACTCAGCAGAATTTCCTTCAAGTGCTGCTCATCAAGATTTTTGATACTATTGTACAACTGATCAATGCATCCTTTGAAAGAGGCATCCCTCAAATGCTTTAATATGAAACCAAGTGGAACAGTCAAAAAACTGATGAGCAAATTAACAAAATCCTCCCCTGCTTCGTTATAACAAACAATATCCTTTGAGACGCTAACTGTCAGCTTAACAACAATATTTTCTTCTTCCTCCTCATTCATTATGTCTCCAAGCAGTAGAGATTCAATACTTGTCAATATTAGTTGATCAAGGCTCAAATTCGGATTTGGAATTGGTACAGGATCAAGCTTCAGTAGAGTTTCAGACAGAGGTTTCTTTGATACTAATGAGCGCAGAAACAAGTTCAAAACCTGGAAAAATAGACCATGAGGTCAAAAACCACAAACACTACGGTTGTATTAAAAGAAAAATAAAACAATTGGCAAATAGCATTGAGTTACCTCATAAGCTCCTATATTCAACGTCTTTTGTTCAGTGGTGCTGTTCTCTTTCATGGCTCCAAGCCTTGTAAATACAGGATTGCTTGCCACGGATAATGGGGACATCACACGTAAATCATCAGTAATTATGAACCTAGCTGATTCTTTTACAAAGATGCCCCCACACCTTGCTCAGCAGAGGATGAAACTGAAAGTGAGCACTTCAGATTCATGCATCTTCCACCTTGACACAGAACACTTCGTAATGACTTTATTTTCGAAGGAGCATTGCCAACTATCACACAGAAAGTACCCTGTCGGCTCATCATTGTCAATTTTCAGTTTGAGGTTTTCGCAATGAGATTCAGCCCCATTGTGGGGACATAGCAACATCTCTTTACATGCTTCAGTCTGGAAAAGCCTCCAAACACTGCCATACAAATTATTCATGCAATGTGATACTGAATGTTTAGTGTCACGCCTGACAATTGTTCCCATTGGTATTCTTTATCAGACTCTACGAAGATAATTTTGTTGCTCCCCTTGTCGACCACGGCCTTCAAGCTTATAATATTCTTCACAGTTTTGTCAGCCATTGATAATGTAAGAAAGTACAAAGCGGTAAGTTGTTTTCCTGCTTAAACATTAAAGGACTTCAAAATACAATTCAAGTATGGCGAAAGAGAGACAAAATTTTGCAGAATTATTAGCTTGAAAAACAGGTCAGAGCTTGAGCAGATAACAAGTATATGATTCAAATCTAAAACCAGCGACCAACATTTTTATCAACATGGCTAGTCTGATCCTGAGTTATGTTGTAGTCCATGAGGAGATTTTGAATGAATAACGTTTTGGAAAGCTTCATGAAATTCACCAGTCTTCTAATTAAAGTGAAATTTAATATTACTAGTGGGAAAAGAAAATTAGGCATTGATCGACAGGTTCTTCTGTGCAGGAAAGGAAAAGAGCTCTTTCAGTATGCAAGAAATTAATGGACAATTATAATGGAAAATGCCAAACAGCTCAACATCATAAGTACATTTAGAAAATAAAAAAAGACATGGAATTCAAAGTTCAAACCTCTTTGGGTAAAACTCCCGAAGAAAAGGATGAGCCTAAAGAAAACACAAAGACTTAAAGAAAGGGCCTGCAGAAAGTAATATATGTAGAAAAAGATCATGAGTCTGGAAAGAAATTAGAGGGAGGATCACTTGAGATGGGGTGCATGTTATGACCCTTCTACCATCCATCCTTAACTTTTGAAAGGGGAAGCATTCATTACTTGACTAGGAAGAAACATCCCGCTTCCCCGAAACCTGAAGATTCCAATCTCTTAAACTAAGAGTAGCACTCATAAATAAGAATAATACAATTCCAAGAAGAGAAGAAAGCAAATAGCCTACATAAGATGCATCAGGTCAATCATGAAGCAAAATTCCATTAAAATATCAGAATAAAGAAACATCCACCTCCACAGTCCACTAGCACTTGAACCGGTGAGTAATATCCGTAGCACTGACATAAGAAAGTACAAACACATAATAAACCATATACTGGAGTTCCAGTTTGTAGAAACAGGAGAAGCATCATCATCTCTATACAGAGTTTATTGTTCTTGCACTGGCTGCCTAACGAAGACATCGGATAGACCAGAGTCGCCAAGGAAAGAAGTCACCAGAAACAATTAACGGTCTAGCCGTTCGGCTATACTTCTTTTGACAGGTGGGCGCTCACGGGTCTCTTTTTCTCCTAGTATAGCTGCTCGGCTTTACTACGCTAATTTTTTTTTATAGACAAAAATAGTATCGCGTGCGGCTATACCTATTTTGACACGTGGTCGCCTAGATGCAAGGAGCATCTTTTTCTCTACAAATAGTATAACCCGCGCAGCTATACTCTAGGATATTTTTCCAAAATAGTATAGCCTGGCGACTTTACTATGAAGCATTATCCACTATTATTAGGCCATTACCCGAGTCTGCATTGTCCCCTTTAATATTTTTTACTTTGCCAGAGTTATTATCCATATAAAGAATTTAGCATTTTCACGTTTATTACTCATATTATACATGTACATATGTATTTTATGTACACGTCTTATAAACTCAATAAAGTACATAATTTTTAAAAAAGCAAACATACAATACTCGTATTGTACACGTACGTACATATTTTTTATTTTTAATAAACATGCTTTTTACAAAATTTTCAAGAATGCACACAAAATTCATGTATTATACACATAATTTTCACATATTATGGAATAAAAATAATATATTTTCCAGAAATAGTAGAGCAGCGCAGCTACACCTTTTTTGACACGTGGGTTCCTTTTTTCTTTTTTTTTTAATAACTAAATAGTATAGTCGAGCGGCTATACTAGTTCTGTACTATGGTTTTTTTTTTCAAATAGTATCGCCGCCTGGCTATACTTGTTTTGACACATGGTTGCCTAATCGCTAGGCGGGTCCCTTTTTTTTTCTATTAATAGTATAGCCGCGTGGCTATACGCGGGGTTTTTGCCTTTTTTAAAAAATAGTATAGCCGCCCGGCTATACTCTGGTGTTTTTTTTTTATTATTACAAATAGTATAGCCGTATGGCTTTACTATGGTATATTTTTTTAAAAAAAATAGTATAGCCGCGCTGCGATACTGGTTTTGACACGTGGTTGCCAAATCGCTAGGTGGCTTTGCTGGGGTTTTTTATTTTTAATAAATAGTATAGCCACGAGGCTATGCACTTCAACATTTTCCCATTAAATACCCGTATTATACACATAAGTATGTATTTTTCATTAATACTTTCGCTTTCTGTACACGTCTTATAGACCTTGTACTCGTACGTACGTATTTTTCACTACTTGTTTCTCTTGTCCAGTTAGCTCATTAAGCTTTATAATTTTTGTATAAATTGGATAGGCCTCCACTTAGTTTTCTAAAAGGATTGTAGCATTTAATTGCTAACTGAGACTACTACAACAAGTGTTGAGTTTGATGGAATCATAAATAAGAATAATACAATTCCAAGAAGAAGAAGAAAGCAAAGAGCCTACATAAAGATGCATCAGATCAACCGTGAAGCAAAATTTCATTAAAATTTCAGAATAAACTTCCTCCTCCACTAGCAATTGAACCGGTGAGTAATATATCCCTACCACTGACCTAAGAAAGTACAAACACAGAACTAAAGGCTCTGCATACTTCCTTGATTCTAGTAAGAGTTGAGAATAACTCCCACATACTGTTGCGAAAGTTCCCCTGAATGCATTGGACCAAAACACCAAAACTCTCAAATCTGATTCGATCTGAAGATGGTGGAGGTTTCTCTCAGTAGCCAGACGACAGCCAAGAAGGGCTGCTTCAGCCTCAGCATTGGCGGCAGACGAGGCGATGGTAAGATACTACAAAGAAGGGCGAAAACTAGACTCCGATAACCTTTTTAAAAAAATGGGCTAGAATCATATATAAGAGTTTAGAAGCTGGATTTCAACTGAGGACCTAATCACTGTTTGGACCTCCTGATTGCCAGAATTTTAAGGGTATAATTTTTCCCCCAGTAACACAGTTAGATACAAAGCAAGATGAAACCAAGACAGGGCACACAGATACAAAGCAATATCTCACAGCAACCCAACAATCATAAGCGTTTCAAGTTGTATGACACAAAACATACAATAGTGCAGAGAACAATACATAAAGTAGAAAATTAATTCATCTGCAACACAAAATACATCCTCTTCTTAAACTAGAAAACTAAGGCATCCAAATCCTCGATTTGGCTTCCTAAGAAAGACACTGGTTAGAGCAGAGTCACAAACAAAAGAAGCCACCAAAAGACGGAGTGCCTGCAGTAAGAAACAAGATTGATCAACATATGAAAGAGATTTATAAACTGTCACAAATAGATCAACCACTTTCAACACATGCTAGCTACTTGGGCTTTAACCATGTTGAATAACAACCGTGGTCAAGCAGCAACACTTTATTGAATATTCATCATAAACCAACTGCCTAAAATTTCAAACAAAATAGAAACTCACAGCTAAGGATTCAACCAGAGTAGTTTAAGGTAAATTACAAATGATAAACATAAATGATATATAACTCACCTCCTTCTTGCCCACTTGAGCAACTTTTACCTCAATGTCAGTGACAGGTACGTTCAATTCGCATAAAATTGACAGGCCAAGAATTGCAGAGATCGGACTTACGTTGAGACTGTCGGTTATCATGAACATTGCCGGTCCTTTCAAAAATCCAAGAGCGTCATCATCTTTGTTACGGTGGGATTTGGGGTCTATGAATTCAACTGATTTCACTTGTTTATTAGAGTGGATAAGGGTGGTATCAACAGCCAGCCGATACGAGGCTTCCTCTATTCCCAAAGGATGGTTCTTATAGCCAAATCCAGGGAGAAGCTTGGGACTCACTAGCATTTTCTTATGGTTATTTGACTTCAAGCATTGCTCATCAAGATCCTGGACACTTTTGTACAATTGATCAATGCATCCTTTCATTGAGTTATCCTGCATCTGTTTCACAATAAACCCGAGTGGAACAGTCAAGAAACTGAAGAGTAAATTAACAAACTCCTCCCCTGCTTCTGCATAACAAACCATCTTCCTAGATTTGCTAACTATGAGCTTAATAGAAATCTTTTCTTCTTCCTCATTCGTGGCGTCTCCTAACATTCGAGATTCAACATATATTTCTTGATCAACATTTTCATTGCTCAATTCTGGGAGGGGTTCATGCTTCAGCAGAGTTTCAGTCAACGGCATCTTTGATACTAATGAGCACATAAGCAACTTCAAAACCTGAAGAAAGTGAAATGATCATCAGAAACTAGCATTTCATTTCTTACTAGAAAATTAACTTTGGTGGTATAACAGATCATTTACCTCATCAACTCCTACATTGACTGTCAACTCCTCAATACTATTCCATCCCGTGCATCCTAGGTTCTTAACTAAAGAAGAGCTTGTAGAAGTAAATGGGGGCATCACTTGTAAATCATCACTAATTATAAATCTGGCTGGACCTTTTACAAAGACCTCACCATCTTCAGCACCAGACACTGGAAGGGTGGTCTCCGTGTCCATTAGACGTTCACAACGACAACAACGAACCGTTTGGTAATAACTAAAAACAAGACTGTTCCGAAAAGTTCTGCAATGTGGATTAGAACACATAAAGTACCGCGTGGTTTCGCAATCATCAAATTTCAGTTTGAGGTTGTCCAAGAGATATTCTGTCCTATTGCGGGGACGTAACAGCATGGCTCTACATTCTTCAGTTCGGAAAAGCTGTGAGTCAAAACTCTCCACACTTCCATATATGTTGTCCATGCAACCAATTCCCAAGGGTTGTAAACGATGGGAAAGCCTAATAACTGTTCCCATAGGGATTGTCAAGAAACTGAAGAGAACATCAATAAAATCACCATCAGACTCTACGAAGATCACTTTGTTGCTCACGTTGTTCACCAAGACCTTCAACTCAATATTGTCCATAGATTTATCGGCCATGGACTGTAAGAAAAGAAATAAAAAATTGGATCAAAATCTTCTCTATATTCAAATCCAATAGCAAATAGCAGAAATTAAAAAATTATTCCAGATTCAAACTATAATCAACTCTACCAGATGTTTATGCATAAATCAGTCTCAACATTGCAAATAAATTGAAAAAAAATCGAGGTAATCTAAATCATCAGGAACGCTCACCGATCAAGGAAGTTCACTAACCTCTGAATATGAAAATTGTGTCTGCTGATATGAGAGAGACTACAACTTACTTTCCCAAGAGCCAAGGATTTAGTTGTGCGCTGTCAAAAATAAGGGTATTGCTTAAGGGGATGTAGTTGTAACCGAAGAGAAGAAAAAGAAAAAGACAAGAACACAAATTCCATTAAGTTTGGTCGCTCAAACTTTATCTCAAAATTGTCCCTAACATATTTAAAAGTTTTATTCTCACAGTTTATTTATGCAAAAGAATCATTACGTAGACATTGACGAGAAAGACTTCCATGACTACTCACCATACTCATCAATGATTATCATATCTTTATTATTTCTTCGACTGTATTTGATTGAATTATTATTTTAATTTCTATCGTAATTGTATCCTTTCATTTTGCTAGTTTACTATTTCTAGTTTCATACTTACTTAAAAAAATTTAAAAATCAGTTTATAAAATAAGTTCAGGGACCTGTAGACCCAAATCCAAAGTCTACGAATCTCAGGTGGATCGGGGTCTTCCATCCGGTCATGAAAGCACACCAAGACTTAAAAGAGAAAGGGTCAGCTTAAAGTAATATAAGTGGAAGAATAGTAGTAAAGCAAAGTTCACTTGGGTGGAGTAGTAAAGAGGTGCATGTTATTGGCCACCATTTTGGCTTTAGCTTTTATATTATAGAAAGCCAAGTATTAAACGTACGATATGCTTAACTAGGAAGAAATTTAGGGTCCCAGCCCCATTGTGACGAGAAAGACTTCCATGACATGCGTGACATAGCATTATTAGACGAGAATAGCAAAACAATGTTATTCCCGTTGCAATTAAGTTGATTGGGCCCGATTAAACCCAAATCAAACAAAAACTCCAATTTGCACCAAAAGTATACAAACCACCATATTCATATTTAGCACCTATTCCATTTGGAACTGGATGGCTATGACCAAGTCCGATAAGTGTTCCCATGGTGATTGCCAAGAAACTAAAGAGGGCATTGACAAAATCAACCTCAGACTCTACGAAGATGACTTCGTATCTGTCCTTGTTCACCAAGGTGATGCTGCCCTTACAATTAGCAGCCATCATTGGTGTCTGGTGTGTGAGAAATAAATGAAGATATAAAAACTCCACTTTCCTCTCTTTACCTCTTGTGATCACAAGCTTCCCTACGAAGGCTTTATTTATAGCAGTATCTTTGGAAGATGAAAAGAATTCAGTAATAAATTTCGGTAAATTTAATTTATAGGTAATGGTGAACCATTTTGGAAGAAGAAATATAGAACGAATCCCATGAAATAAATTAGTCTTTTAAAAAAATCAAGACATGGGGGAGTGCTATCAACCTTCTCTCTAACATTCTCTTTTAGACATTCTCTCTTCTTCTAATGACAAGTGTCAATTTCCTTACACTTAAAACAATGTCATTAATGCATCATACAAACTAGTTTTTATTTTCCAAGTTTTCCCTTATTAAATGTATTTATTTTTTTTTAATAACAAGCTAATTTTTTTTTACAACTTTCTTACCACCTTGTTAAAAAAAATTAAATAAGAAAATAAAAGTTTTTTTTTTTTTTTTTTTTTTTTTTTAAGAGAACGTGTGTTTTGTTAAAAACAAAATAAAGATGATAACATCTTGAAACAAACTTTATTTTTAAAGGAAAAAAAAGACATTTTTTTATTATTTAATCTTTAATAATGTGCTAAAGAAGTTGTAACAAAATTTGAATAAATTGAAGGAAATATAAAAGCCAATACATTTTAAAAGAGTAACTTGGAAAACAAAAACTAACTTTTGTGATGCATTAATAACATTGTTTTTAGTATAAGTAAAATGACACTTGTCATGAGGAGAAAGGAGAAGGTTCAAAAGAGAAGGTTAGAGAGAAGGTTGCTAGCATACCTCTAAAATTATAACTCGATAAAGAATTGGAAAGACAAACAATTCCACATATTGATACCATTTGAAAGAAATTCCCATGCAAACGGCAAACTAAACTGCTGCAGAAATGTACCAAGGTATTGGAAATACAATAACTCTGGAACAGAGAGAGACTCAGCTAATTAATGTATAATAAAAAGAAGATCATGACTCTTGCATGCATGTACATACATGTTATCATGATCCCTCCCACAAATTTAGCTTTTCCAAACTTAATATTTTATATGAACTACTAATATAAAGCGAACTGTCACGTCAAACATTACATATATCAATTTGTTTCATGCTGGCTATCTACATCTTTTTCTTCAGCATACCCAGAATTCATATCCGTACGCTAATAGCAACACTCTATGCAGATCACATAGCAAGTACATGTCAACAAAACAAGTATTCTAACACCAAAATGCATACTGGACTTCCATTTTGCAACAACAACATCTATATATAAGCAAGCTCTCAACATTGTTCTTGCTTTGGCTTTTTGTTCTGCTTCGGCTCCCTAACGAAGGCATTGGTTAGCGCCGAGTCACAAACAAAAGAAGCCACCAAAAGACACAAAGCCTGTAAGAAGGAACATATTCAATAGTCATCAACAATTTAAACAACAGATAACCCCTATCTAGAGATAGCCACTCAGTTTAGAGGACCTTTGTTGGAGAGCCAATAGACTCTGGCGAAATATTTGTTACCTGTTGCAATACGACAACTTCCACGATGCCATTGAAGCCAGCTATCTAATCGACTTGCAGTACTATAAAAAGATTCAATGCTTCCATGTTTTGTTTGCATCAAAGAAAAGGTGAGGTGTGGGCATGAAATAGGTGAGATGTGAGAATGTTGTGTGTGCAGTCAATAACTCGTATAAGGATAGTGTACAAGTTCAGGAATCTTTGTGCCATGGGTTTTACTCGACAACTTGAAGCATCAGCACGAGAGAAATAATCGCTGTATGTGCAGTCAAGTTAAGTGGCAGAAGGACAGCAATGGAGGGTTGCAGTGAAAACTAAGCTTAAAGTAAAGTTCATCGAAAATTATAATTGATAGCTCACCTCTTCTCTGCGCACATGCACAATTTTCACTTCAATGTCAGTCAAAGGCACCTTCAGTTCATTCAGAAGAGACAGACCAAACATTAGAGATATAGGTCTTATGATCAAATTGTCAGTTACTGTGAACATCGCTGGTCCTCCTAAAAATCCTTGACCTTCAGCACTTTTATCTTGATCATTGTGGCATTTGGGATCCATGACCGTCACTAACTTAATACTAGTCTGAGCACTTTCTTCGCCATAATATGACCTCCTAGTTTTCTTAGCAGCTGAAATCCGAGAAGCGATAAGAGTTTTCTCAGTAGACAGCATACCAAGTGCATAATAATATGTGGCCTCCTCAGTTCCTAAGAGATGGTTCTCATAGCAAAAGCCAGGAACAAGCTTGGGACTGAGTAGCATTTCTTTGTGGTAGTCTGACTTCAAGTAGCAATCATCAAGATCTTGGACACTCTTGAACAACTGATTAATGCATCCTTCTAATGCGCAATCCCTCATTTGTTTTACAACAAAACCCAGTGGAATAGTTAGGAAACTGAAGAGTAAATTCACAAAATCCTCTCCTACTTCTGCATAACAAACCATCTTCTTAGATTTGCTCAGTATAAGCTTGATAGAGAGGTTTCCTTCCGGATCTGTTGCGTCTACAACTATTTGAGGTTCAATATTTATTCCTTGGTTGTCATTGCTCAACTTTCGTATTGGTTTATTCTTCAGCAGAGTTTCTGTCAAAGGTGTCCTTGATACTAACGAGCACATAAGCAAATTCAAAACCTAAAAGCAGAAGTCAAGTTAGAATCACTGATACAGTTGTAAGAAAAAAAAATCCACAAGTCAATACTTCAATTGCCTCATCAGATCCTACATTGAAAGTCAACTCCTCAGTAGTATTCCCATTCCTGACTCCAAGCTCTGTAAATACAGAAAGGCCTTCCAAAGTTAATGGTGGCATCACTTGTAAATTATCACCAATTATAAGTCTGGCCAGTCCTTTCACAAAGATGCCTCCATCTAGACTCACTAAAAGATTTTTCTCCTCAGTCATGCTTCCACCACAATCACAAGAACCAATTTTGTTATAACTTATCTTACATTCTGCTCTGTAGCTACGTGAGCACAAAAAGTACTGTGTGGGCTCACCATTGTCAATCTTCAGTTTGAGGTTCCTGCAATGAGATTCTGCCACATTGCGAGGACATAGCAACATGTCTCTACATGCTTCAGTACGGAAATGCTTTACATCCATATTCTTAACACTTGAATACAAATTTTTTATACAACCTATTTCTAATGGTACTGACTGATTAGGGGCCAGCCTCATAATTGTTCCCATCGGGATTGTCAAGAAACTGAAGAGAACATCAATAAAATCATTATCAGACTCTATAAAGATAATTTGGTTGCTCGCCTTATCCACCAAGGCTTTCACGCTAATGGTGTTCACAGATGTCTCAGCCATGGATTGTAACAGAGTATAACTTCGGCTTTGACTTCCTCTTTTTGTCCAAATCAGGGCACAGATAATTGTTGAAAGATAAATGCTTCTGATTAAGGCCCGAGTAGTACACACTGATGTTAAGGTGTTTCTCTGGTAACATGAAAAACGCGTCAAAATACAAATCAATTACAGGAAAAGAGATGAAATTTTGCGACATTAATAGTTAAAAGAATACAAATGTGATTCAAATCTAATAATATTTATTTTTATTTTTTAAATATGTTAGTGTAAAAGATAAAAGCACACTCGGATACTGAGCTAATATTTAGTTATGAATTTCATGAGATTGAAAATTGAACAAATAACTTTCTTTAGCAGTCAAGAGCAGATATTATCAACTTGGCTGCTTTTGGGATTCAACCCATCTTCTAAGGTCAAATAATTTGTGATAATAACATAAATCAAATCATCAATTATTACAAATAATTAAAAAAGGAAAACAGTTCAGAAAAACCAATGTGAAAATATCATCATCCCATAGCACAAACCCATCAAGAAACATAAATAATAATATAATCCACAACTTAAAAAACAAATGGAACTGAGTGTAATGAGAAGAAGAGGTTCTTACCTCCGATGGTACTCTTTCCAAAACTCCAAAACCAAATCCTTCAACCTCCTCAAATAAATCTGACATGCAAACACAGGATATGAACCCAGAAAAATTACTCCTAAAAGCCATTGTTCTAAACACATTATAAGACAACGAGAACCACAAACCCAAATAAGGCAAACACCCATTGGGTTGTGAGCTTACCAAACGAAAGCCTTACTCTTTCCCAACAAGCATTTCAGCTTCTGAAAGTTATAACAAGAGAAAGGTTTCATTTTTAGGCGAAAATCAAGTGAAGGGGGTGTGGGATTTCGGGTATTGTTGGAAAGATTGTAACTTTGGACTTTTTTACAAGATGCAAACTGTTCCTTCACCAAATGCAAGGTTGTGGTAGATGACCAGAGAACAGTGTAGAAAGCAACGAGCTACAGATATGAGGGGTTTGAGCAAGAAGAGGAACAGAGCTTTAAACACAAACCCAAAAGCACCCTATTTACCCTAAAACACAAGATTGCGCGGGATAATTGTCGTAAAGGAAAAAAGTTTGTACCTTTCGTATGCCACGTGCCCAAGCGTTGGAACCGATGCACCACAGTCAGTTGCCAGGTGGTGCAACGGATACATCTAACATTATAAGTGTTGATTATCTATTTGTAGTGCAACATAACACCTAATTGAGTGACCTTTATAGCAATTTTTTAGAGTTGAGAGACCAAAATGTAACTCCGAGTATAGTTAAGGGACCATTGCTACAAATAATCCTAACTGAAAAATCACATTTGCCCATCAATAATCTAAGATATGCTTGTCACATCATCATTTTAAACAGAAAAAATCACAAACTTAACAATAAAGACTAATGGTGCAACACAACACCCAATTGAGTGATCTCTGCAACTAATATTTGAATTGATTGACCAAAATGTAACTTCAACTATAGTTGAGGGACCATTACGAATAACCCTTCTATTTAAATTACTCTTCTTGCAGATAACCCACTAGTGTAGTGTTTGGAGCAATTACGCCCTAAGAATAGGTCTTAAATTCGAGTCTTAGCATTGGTGTAATGTGTGTGTGTGTGTGTGTGTGAGTTGTGTATGTTATAGCTCATCTTAATAGGAAAGGTCCTCAAAATTACAATTTTATCCTTCATCAATTTATGTAGAATTACTAGATGAATGTAAAGAGAAGAAAATCTAAACTCTTAGGCCATGTTTGGTACGCCTCACTGGACTGGACTGAGTTAAATAGCACTCGAAACCCTTGTTTGGTAAGAGATGAGATTAACTTAAATGAGACTGTATAGTCCAATAGTGAAAAAAAAAGCCTCACTCGCTCGTCTAATACAATGAGCCTAAAAAGTGGTTCGCTAAATAGCACGCTCGTTAAATAGAACACATGAGTCCGACGCCTCTCTTTAAAAAATATCATAATTTTATTTGTTTCTTTTAATTATTGTTTTTAGATTTTTGTTTTTGTTTTTTTTTTTTTTTTTTTTTTTTTTTTATTTTTTTAAGATAAAATTCCTTAATTAAATTTAAATATTACAATAATTATTTTGATATTGCATTTGGAAAATCAAACTATAGTAATTTAAAAATTATTTTATTTTATTTTATTTTTTATATTGAAACAAGTTTAATAATTCATGATGTGATGCTTTCTTTATCGCAAGCAATTTTTACCTTGTCAAATTATATTTTTAGTTTGAAATCAAAAGTCAAATATACAAAAATTATACATATATATATATATAATTTTTTAAATTATTGTTTTACTTGGTCCCTGAAAAACCCAGAATTATATAGAGTGAACTTAGCTCCTTTAACAATGTTTCAACCAACTAAGATTAATCTTGAGAAGCCAAAAAACAAATATCATAATTTTATTCTTCATAAAAAAAAGAGAATTTTATTTGTTTTAAATCTTTTTTTCTTTTTTTTGCCAAATATTGTTATAAATCTTTGGATTGGGTTTCTTTTTAGCATTATTTATCTTTTAGGTCAAAACCCCCAATTAAATTTAAATATTATAAAAATTATTTTTTAGTCCGACACAGCACCAAACATAGGTCTTCAATATTTTTACAATCCAACTTCTTAGTTCAACGTAGCACCAATCATAGGTCAGTACTTAATCCAGCTTAGGCCAATCCGAGCTAATATGAGACAGTCTCAGAATTTTGTTCAGTTCAGGACAGTTCATCATGCCAAACGACCCCCAATTTGTTTGGAAGAGTGTATATTAAGGGGTGACGACCGGAGAAACACTCTCATGCAACGGAGATAGCACTTTTTGTTATCCCCGACTAATAATGCAACGACAAGTAGGCTATCTTCAGTTAAGGAGAGTGAGCAAAAATGTAACAACTACCATGTTTGCTCAATGTGGATGGTTTGTGATTGAGAAATCAATCTTCTTATTAAAAAACCACATAATGCTGGCCAATACAACTACAACCTGAGACTAGCCACACACAACTAGATATCGAACTTATACTAAGATCAAATGTTAGTTTGACATAATTTTACGGGCTAGCATAAATTCAGTAAAAGTTTCACTAAAACACCCAAAATGGGGCTGAAATTATAAAAAAACCCAACACCCAAAACCCATCATTACACACACTCAAAACTCATTTATAAACACACCCAAAAAATATACAATTGTTGATTTTGGGTATGTTTCTATGTTTAAATAGTGCTTGAGTTTTTTTATAAATACATGTCTAGGATTGAGTTTATTTATAAATTTGTAAAAAAATAATTCTATATTCACAACATGTGTTAAAATTTGCGTGGACTTATAACTTTATGTGGAACATATTTTAACTTTTGAGTCTTTAAGTCCAAGTAAACTTCTAAAAAACTATTTCCAAGTAACTTCCAATCTCATTCAAGATGCAAACCCCCGTTTGAATGTTTTGGCTTTAGGGTTTATCGCGTGGCGTGTCTTTGGCTATAAAGCTCTGCTCTGCTCCTTGCTCAAGGGTCAATACTGCTCTGCTCTGCTCCTTGCTTGCCATAAACTTTATCATCACAACCGCTGCCTCCTCAGGGTCCTGCCCCCTTCAGTTGACCTTGTTCTCAAAACGAAGCTTTTTTATATATTCTAATTTCTAGCTTTCAGAATCCTTGTTGGAAAAGAGCAAACTTTCGTTTGGTACGTTCCCGAAACCCGAATGGGTTTTTGTTGTGTAACTTTTCTGTGTAATTAATCCAGCTTTTGCTTGTGATATTGAGCAGGTACGGTTGAAGGCTTTTGTTTTTGTGTCTTGGACAAGACCATTGAAGGTAAGAAACACTTATTTTCTGTTCTGTTCAAATAGTTATTATTATTATTAAGAATTAGTGTTACATGAGTTCGAAATTAATGCCTGCAAGTAACTGAAAGCAAAATGCAGGTGTAATTGTAGTGGCAGTCACTGCTTGATTAATCCAAGTGCATGTTTTGTACTGTTGAGAAGTTATGTTTGTTAAGTTGTGAAATTTTTTTTAAGAAGCTTTTTATGATGGAAAATGCTAGAGGCACCAACTTTGGGCACCAAGTTGGGCACCAACTCTCTAATAGAGCGTGGGACCCGGTGTATTCGCGGGCTCCACCTCTATTAGAGAGTTGGTGCCCAACTTGGTGCCCAAAGTTGGTGCCTCTAGCACCACCCTTTTATGATTTATATTTTCTAATGGGCTTACATTGGTTTTGTGAAAATTGTTCTCCTTGTTAATTTGTGATAATAGTGGAAGCAGCCCAAGTTCTAGCAATCCATGGCGGATGAATCTTTGAACAATATCAGCTTGAAGGCCTTGGTGAATAAAGGGAGCAACAGAGTTATCTTCATAGAGTCTGGTCATGAATTCATAGATGTTCTCATCAGTTTCTTGACACTGCCCATGGGAACAATTATCAAGCTTGCTCGCAATCATTCTGCACCACTGGGAATAGGTTGCATGAAGAATTTGTATGCAAGTGTTAAGGATATTGATGTGCAGCATTTTCGGACTAATTGTTGGGACATGTTGCTATGTCCACGAAATGGAGCTGGACCGATTGTAGAGAACCTCGAAATGAACATTGATGATTGTGATAACACACGGTTCTTTAGGTGCTCTAATGTTCCTTGTTGGACTCCAACTAGGCTTAGTTATTACAATACCGTTCCTTGTCGTTGTGGAAATCTAATGAACACCGCAGTCGATGTTTATGCTAAAGCTGGTCATGAGGTGTTTGTAAAAGGACCAGTGAGACTAATAATTAGTGATGATTTGCAAGTCCTGCCCCCAGAAACTTTAGTAAGCTCTTCTTTGTTAAAGAAGGCTGGAGCCATGGATTCAAATACTATTGAAGAGTTGAGTTTGGATATTGGAGCTGATGAGGTAAGAATTATTCCAATATCTTCTTTTTCTTCTTCAAATTTGCAATTTTGTTTTCTGATCTTTACAAATTTCGTCTCTCCTTTCCAGGTTTTGAATTTACTTATGTGCTCATTCGTATCAAAGACGCCCCTGACCGATATTTTTCTGAAGCGTAGACCACGATCAATGTTTAACAAGAACATTGGCACTCAACAAATTAGTATAAATTCTCAAATGATAGAAGAGGCCCGCAACATGTATTGGGAAGCTAATGAAATTTTTGTGAAGCTTATAGTTAGCAAATCTAAGAATGTGGTTTGTTATGCAGAAGCAGGGGAGGATTTTGTTAACTTACTTTTCAGCTTCCTAATGCTTCCACTTGGTTTCATATTAAAAGCATCGCGTGATCTTTGCTTGAAAGGATGCATTGATCGCTTGTACAAAAGTGTCAAGAATCTTGATGGGCGGTTATGGAAGTCTGATACGCGCAAGGAACTGGTAGTTAGGCCCAAGCCTTCCCCTGGATTTTGTTACCAGAACCATCCTTTAGGAATTGAAGAGGCCTCAAATGTTCTTGGTGATCAAGCCGAGATTGTGGACCCCTTATCACAATATTATGAGGATGAAGACGAAGACTCAAGTCTAGGTTTCTTAAAAGGACCTGCCATGTTTATGGTAACTGACAGTCTTGTTGTAAGCTCGATATCTCCGATCCTTGGTCTGTCTGTTCTGAATGATATGAATGTGCCTATGACTGATGTTGAAGTGCAAACCGTGCATGTGGGCGTGGAGGAGGTGAGAGTTATGATTTCCTCAGTTGTCCGAGTTTCTGTTGAAAGAAAGTATATTTTGATAGTTAAATCTCGTATGATGTTTGATAATTTGGTTGTGTTTGTTAATGCAGGCTTTTGGTCTTTTGGTGGCTTCTTTTGGTTGTGAATCTGCTGCTCTAACCAGTGTCTTCCTTAGAAGATAAAGCAGGAACAATGAGGATCTATTGGAGGATCTATTGGAAACTAAGTGTAACCATGCTGGTTGAGCAGTCTAGTTTTGTAAAGCACAGTATAAATCCTTCTTTCTCTAGGTCTAATTTTACATACACTTTTATGGGGTTTAATGCGTTTTCAATTTTAAGTTTTTTTTAACGCCACTGGGGGATATTCATTTGAACAACGCCATCTGAAGCAATTTACCAGATTGAATTCATGGGGAGAAATCTAGAATGTTGATACATGGCATTACGATAAAAGAAAAATTAGGTGTACAATCTTTGGAAAGAAAATCTTTATATAAAATAATATATAAGATTCAACGAAAAGCCTTAAGATAATATAATAAAGAAAATGTAATGCCATTGCAGTTTCATATAAGCTTCCTCAGAATGGATTCAAATTAAAAACATAACTTTGGCCATTTTACAAGCTGGATTTAGCAGGGATATCATATCAGCCGGTAGAAATTTAGGTAAACCAAGCCATGTATCCTGATCCTCATTGTTCTTGCTTTGGCTACCTCAGGAAAACACTGGTTAGAGCAGAGTCGGTAACAAAAGAAGCAACCGAAAGACGAAACGCCTGCAGTGCAAAGACAATTAAAACATCACAAACATGAAAACAGAAAACAATTTCACACTACATGACCAGGATATTATGTGTGTGTTTGTCTAAACAAAATTTGAGATTAAGAAACAATTGTTTTAACAACATGCTAGAAATACCACAAGTTACAAAATGAAATAACTCACCTCTTGCTTGCCCCACATTCACCACTTGCACCTCAATATCATTGAGAGGAACACTCGGTTCAGAACAGACACACCGAGGATTGGAGATACTGGTCTCACAATGAGACTGTCCTCTACCATGAACATTGCCCGTCGTTTCAAGAATCCTCGAGCACTGCCATCTGCATCATTTTTTTCAAAATAAACCCGATTGGAACAATTAGGAAACTAAAAAGTAAATTCACAAAATCTTCTCCAGCTTCTGCATAACAAACCACACCCTTAGATTTGCTTCAAAGATATGTTTGCTTCATCCTTGTTCCTGGTGTCACCAACCAAACGGGAATTTACATTGATCTTTTGGTCACGAACGACGTTGGTCAAATACAATACGGATTTATTATTCAGAAGAATATCAGTCAGAGGTATCTTTGATACAAATGAGCAGATAAGCAAATCAAAAACCTGACAAAGAGCATTTTAAAGCAAACCCAAGAGGAATGGTTAGGAAACTAAAGAGTAAACTAACAAAACGCTCCCCTGCATCTACATAACAAACCATCTTCTTTCATTTGCAAACCATTAGCTTCACATAAATGCTTCTTTCCACATTCACCCCGTCTCCTTCCATTTGTGGTTCGATATATATTTCTTCATTAAAATTTTCATTGATCAATTTTTGTTATGGTTCATCCTGTAGCACAGTTTCTGTCAGAAGGTTTCTGGCTCAAGTTTGCACATAAGCAAGCTCAAAGTTTGTATTGGAACAAAAAGTGCTAGAAAGGCATGGTTGTGTTTTATTTTTTCCAAAACGGTAAATTGGGGTTTTCATGCTTTCTTGGTACCAATAGAAGCTCGACGGATCCATAGCTCCTCAGACTCAGGGACAAGAGTATTTACCTGTAGATCGGTAGTCTCAACAAAAATTTCACACAAAAAAAAACGAGTGTTGTAAAAGATAATAAATGGAGCCCATATGTTGGAAGGGGCTTTGCCTATAAAAGGGTTCACCCTTCCTTTGTAATGTATGATTGAATAATACTGAAGCTAGAGGAACCGATCCTACATTTTCTCTGCTTCTAAATTCTCTCCTCAATCTCTTAATTTTATAACACATTATCAGCACGAATTCGCTTTCAAATATACCAGCTGAGTTTTATGATGAAACCCGGATCTTTTGTTCTTTCCTGTCCTTCATAACCATAGCAGAGAAGAATGCAAACCCATGTTGGACAACCACACTGCTTCTTCATCTACTGCTCCATCTTCTTCCTCTCATGATGCCTTAGAAAATGGAGGAGCCACTCACAGAAGAAAAAGAAGACCAGCAGGCACACCAGATCTGAATGCAGAAGTTGTGTCTCTGTCTCCCAAGACCTTGTTGGAGTACGTATGCGAGATCTGCAACCAAGGATTTCAGAGAGATCAGAACTTGCAGATGCACAGGAGATGGCTCAAGGTGCCGTGGAAATTGCTAAAGAGAGAAATTGCTCAAGATCAGGTCATCAGGAAAATGGTGTTTGTCTGCCCGGAGCCCAGCTGTCTGCACCATGACCCTTGCCACGCCCTGGGCGATCTTTTTGGGATCAAGAAGCACTTCAAAAGAGAACACAACAATCACAAGCAGGGAGTTGAAGTTGCAGAGAGAGGCTTTTCCTCAGCCAAGGACTACCATGACTCTGGCTACCAGGACATGCATGTGCTCTCATCACCATCACTCCCTGTAGGCTGAGAATTATTGTTCTTGGAATGAGACCTGCTATAATGAAAAGTGGCGTAGGCATCCACGAAGTCCCAATGGCAGCAACCAAGCCCAGGGAGCTCTCTTTGTCTTTCCATTTTATTTTATTAATACCCTACACTATTCAATACCATTTTTTTTCGTATATACTGACTGTTCAAAAAGTTTGAGTTGTGATAATTGCAGGTGAGAAAGCAAAGGCATGCACATATGCACAATGATCACTTCAATATCATTGTCGGCCATGATTCTTTTTTATATATGGTTGCTTTATATATTATGTTAAAGCATCATCATCCTTTTTGGTTTTGATATAACATATTAATGGCAATATATATAGATATAGATAATGGCAATATACTCAAGTTATATATATAGACCTACACGGCATATGTATATACTCAAGTGATATTTATAGAATATTATTTGATATGATAGTCTTAATCTAGTATATAATATATACTAGCTTCTCTGCATGCGCTTCCGCGCTTGCGAGAGGCCTTTTTTAAAAGAATTTAAATTTTTTTAGAATTAAAAAGATAATTGGTAGTTGTGTTCCGTAAAAATAGGATCTATTATCTTTTTCTTTTAATTTTAATTTTTTTTAAAGTGTGAATTTACCATATTATCCTCATTTAATTAATAATTTCAATTCTAATGTTTGAATTAATCAAGGGCATTTTTTGGTATTTTGAATGTTTCACCATTCTCTGTCTTTTACTTTATATATATAGATAATCCACGATTGCCATAAGCAATAACATGTCAATTTATTATATAGGGTTATCTTATATATATATATAGTTATAATATTAATATGAAAAGTTGATAGTAATATAATATACTATATTTATTTGCTTTTCTATTACTAACCATTAATAAAAATGAACCCTTGATAATACTAAACGTATTATCAGTGGGAGGCCGTTAGTAATACTAACACTTTTCTTATCTTATTCAATGGTGGTTTTATCCCACATATTTACTTTAATAAAAATGGATGGTTTCACTTCCTATATTTTTAGTGGTGGTTTATCCCCACATTTATTTTGTTTATTGTATGGTGTAGGTTCATTACCCATATAATTTATTTACTGTATGGTGTAGGTGTATTATCCATTCGACAGTATTTATTTAAAAGAGTGGCACGAGTTTATCGTCCACACAATTGCCTTTACTTTTATTTAAAAGTATGGAGCAAAATTAGTGCCCATACAAGCACATTTACTTTATTATTGTATGGTGTGGAATTAACCCTCATACAACAATCAATTTACTTTATTGCACATTTACGTTTATTTAAAGTATTGTGCAGGATTATCGTCCATACCAACAATTTATTTACAAGCAATTTAATTTATGAATTTATTTTACCGCACATTTACATTTATTTAAAATATGGTGTGAGATTATCGTCCATACCAGCAATTTATTTACAAGCAATTTAATTTATGAATTTATTTTACCGCACATTTACATTTATTTAAAGTATGGTGCGGGTTTATCGTCCATACCAGCAATTTATTTACAAGCAATTTATTTTATAGATTAATTGTGCAGTATGATGAGCTTTTTTACAGTATATAGATTAGGACTAGAAGTTCATTGATCCTCATCATACAACTAAATCAAGACTTGAAGATCTTTGATGATGATATTGATATGAGAGCTGGCAATCTCTCCAATACTATATTTGTAAACAAGTGATCGGACTTGAAGGTCATTGATCCTTGATATGTAAATAAGGACCTGGAGTTCCTTGATGATGTAACAGTACCGTACACATGAATAGTAACTGTACTGGCAAATGTACTGTACACATGAATAGATACGTATTCATGACCTCTTGAATAGTACTGTATATATAAATAGTGACGTATACATAAATATTAACCATTTTAGGTAAACCGTCACTATATACAAAAGAGAACATGCAGTTCCTTAAACTCATGGATGAGCAATTAAATGAGATGCCAGAAGTTCCTCAAAATATGGACAATTATGTAAGGGCTTGAAGTCCTGAAATATGTACAGAAAACTGTAAAAATGTCCATACCATGAGAATATGTTATTTTGGCATGAAGTTCAAAATCTAACAGTGTTGAGAACATGAAGTTCCAACAATTAAATGGACAACCCTTGAGGTATTATTGCAAATTGTAGTAGGCCACACATTTCTTTGGCATAAGAAAATGATGAATTTAATAAAGTTCGATTCTGTTATAATTGACACCTCAAGGAAGAAATATATTTTGTGAATTCCGGTTGTTAAGAATACATCGTGAAAAGGATAATATCAGGATAAACCTCAAATGATGAATTGAGGATCCCCACATATTTTGTTATATTATATGATCTGGGCCGGAAGCCCATGGATCCAAGTATATGAGAGATCCCGAACTTGAAGTTTTGGGTTTATAGCAGTTAATGCTCCTCACTACTATATTGCGATATTATCGTAGCTTTTAGTCAATTTATATTTCATGTCCATTTGAAAAGGGTGAATAATTCTGAGGTCGTGGTTAGCCCGAGCCAAAAATTTCAGGCTCACATGCATTGAAATATGTAATTTGAGAGATTTGATGTGGTTATTTGAACCTATAAGGCACAAGGTTTCAAACCATCATTTTGAAAAGACGTAAAAACCACAAGTGCAAGTTTTAAGAATTTGCGCAATTATTATAAACAAGAAAGAAGGCATACAAAAGATAGATTTTTCCAAATGCAAGGAAAAGACAGGCTCTGCAAAATCTATAAAATTACATTATGTTCTGGAAGCCTCTAAAGGAAGATGACAGCGCCTCTTAAGCTTAACAATAAGCCTCTCGTGGTCTCCTAGAATTCTTTCATTGGAAACTTGCAGCATGTCTAACCTTCTTAGCGTATCAACGGAGTACGAACTCACCAGTTTCAACAAGGCATTATTTTCCTCTTTAAGTTTCTCAACCTCCTGTTGAGACTCATGGAGCATTCTCTGAAGAGATGAATTTTCAGTGGTCAGCTCCTGAACCTCGTTTTCTCTAGCACGCAAACTATCAGCCATGTTAGAAACAGAAGCAGCACTTTGAATGCTAAAAGCCATTGAGTCATCAATAGTCTCTTCATCAGACCTCACTGATAACAGCATTTCATCCATTGGCATAAGGAAATTCCTAGCTACTATGACAACGGTCCCATCATTCATCATCACATAATCACTAACCGTGAGATGACGATTTTGGGATACAAAGGATGGACGCCAGACTTTGGCGTCACAAGTTGTGTTGGGAGCAACATTTAAATCAAGATGGTTTGGGTGAGAATAAGAGGAAGCTATTTTTAGGAAGGTTTCAAGGAAAGGTTTAAAAGAAGTTGAATTTTCATAAAATGGATAAGTTGAGTTGAAACGCAGTTACTCTAATCAGGTCTTGCAAAGACAATATCTATAGGCGGAAATATGGCAACCAGGATCCCAATATTCTTTTGGATCCCCATACTCTCTTTTTCTTTCCCAGATTCCAAAACTTCACGCGGCTTCCATTAATGTCTGTCGGCACTTTCGGCATTTTCATAGATTATTTTTGTCAAAAGCCGATCTTGCTTTGCGGATTTCACGGAGCTACTTTTTCAAAAGCAACCCGAGACCCTCGCAAATTGTTGTGGTTAATTTGAAATTCACTGGTTCTACTTATTCCTCTTATTTGTGTATAAATATGTTACTAATGAAATTCTTTGCAGAAGACATCCAGTTTTCTTCATATCTAGAGATGCGATATCCACTTGTTTTTCATATCAGTGAGCACTCGATGTGCGTGAGAAGCAAGACTATCTCTGATCATCAATTCAGGAAGCGAGACTATCCCTAATCACGTTTCCGCTACATCAGGGAACTGTAAAGACTACCACATGCTCTAATCTCCTGAAGTTCTTCTAGACTAGGAGAAATGAGAGTTTGTTGTTTGCTTCCACTAGCTTCCTTCCTTAATTGCTTACCTTATCCTGCAATTAATATCACAATTTTTTTGCATTTTTCTCTTTTTATAACTCTCTGTTCATAAGGGGTTTGATTCCTTCAAAACGAACATCCTAAGAAAGAATCCATGAAGTGTTCCTAACTCTGAGGGTTATTTATTTTTGACAGAGAGAAGAATTGTGATTTTTTGCTCTTGCAGGATATAACTAAATCATCAAGCGCTACACTATATTTACTGGGCCGATACGAGCTTGAATGATACTTGAGAAAAGTTTCTCCCACCTAAGGATGTAAGCAATACTTGTGTTATTTTATGCTTATACACTTATTTTGATATTTTGTAAAACATCTTGAAAGGTAACCAAATAGGGAGATAAGGCCGTTCCAGAAGAACACCATGCAAAGGACCATTCCAGAATAATAGCTTGTATCATTCTGATATGTATTCATGAATTATTATTGCAAATTTCACAGATTGCAAGATGAATACATTAATGATGCACTACATAGATTAAAATCCCATAAGAACAGAACATGGGTATAGTAGTGATCAATATGATGCACGCCTGTTGCGTAGCAAATGATATGGATTGAAGTCCCCGAAGGACAATCCTTTAACATGTCAATATTGATACAGGTGCACGCCTAATGCATAGCAAATTATATGGGTTAAAGTCCTAGAAATTAATTGACATGTATGTATTAATCTGTGGCATGCCTGCAGCATGACAGATATATGGGTTATAAATGTTCCAACTCCCTAAATGGAGATTATCCACGCCCTACTGTAAAATAACGCCTCATTGGAGGTTATGATCCACATTCTCACATAATTCATCTTATAAGATATGTCTGTTTGGAAAAAGACAATAAAAGCCCCCTGAAGTGGCTTGGGTACCCAAAAGCAAATAAATACTTATAATTGATGCATGCGCATGCACATGAGAATGGTGGGATCATGAATTGATGAATGAAAATTTTTGGTTTTGGAGTAGCTACTCAAATCATCAATGGACTGTGTTGATTGGAACCACGTTATATTATTAAATGTCGACAATATCATTGGCCAAAATAGAAAGAGGCAATTCCATTATAAATGAAAATGAACGTGAAAGAAAAACCCACAGTACGAACCCTAAAAGATGTTAATACTGAAAGTTATACTTGGTGTTTGGAATAAAAGGGAATATACCCACTTTGTATGACACAATGTTTCTGGCAGAAACAAGAAATGTTGGGTTTCTCCATATTTACAGATGCAATTGTGCCCTCTTATTGCACATTTACAGAGACCAACATATTATCTTTAAGGGTTATTAAATGCACGGAGCATATCGCCATAAACGATTCCTTAAAGATGTATAAATAGCTTGGTTAAAGCTATATAATGTGTCATAAAGTATAATCCCTTAAATAAAATCATTGAAAGATTGAAATTGCGTGAAGCAAGTCTGTAGACATGTGCATGAAGCACAAAACTTGTACTCAATACTAAATACGCATATATTGCCTCAATGAGTACATTGATTATAATATGTTCGCAACACATTAAAGTTCCTGGAAAGTTCAAGAAATATTTGTCTCGACCTGTAAATCAAGCGTTATGCCAACGAGATCTTTGCTTATACTAAGAAAGTATTGAAGCATTTTTATGTGGGTTAACTGTTTGGCACTTAAATATTTTTCTAGAAGTATACTAGACTGGACATTGTATTTTCCAAATAGAGCTCAACTCCATTACCATCATTTTGAGATGATGTGAGGCATATTTGATGCTATCTCCGCATGACACCATATATGGGCATATTCTTTTCAAGTAAACTTACAAATAGCCCGGGTTTTATTGGATACGCGGACTTTGGAAATTTCTATGATTTACATAAAGATAGCTCACTGGAAATATATTTACTTACTCAACTACATGAATTGTTGGTGGCTACATCATTCACTCAATCCAAAATATCTTCCTTCTAAAAAGATAGTCATGAAGATTTCAAGGGGAAATTCTTTAAGGGGAGCATCCAACAATATTACAAGATTAACTCACAGAAGCAGTGTCAACTATGATATTCAGAAAGATGATCAACAGTACGGCTTAAAGATATTTTGCCAAGCATCAGGAGGAGCGTGCTGTCAATAAAGACATTCACACACTGTACTCTTTTTCCTTCGTCTAGTTTTTTTATCCCACTGGGTTTCTCTTGGCAATGTTTTAACGAGGTAGTGTCGCACGCATGTCAAAATACATAGAATTTTATGTTACAAGGTTTTTACTGGCAAGGTTTTTAACGAAACATATTCCATACATTGTTGTTTCTAAGGGGGAGTATTGTAAAAGATAATAATGGAGCCCACATGTTGGAAGGGGCTTTGCCTATAAAAGGGTTCACCCTTCCTTTGTAATGTATGATTGAATAATACTGAAGGTAGAGGAACCGATCCTACATTTTCTCTGCTTCTAAATTCTCTCCTCAATCTCTAATTTTATAACAAGGAGTAACATTTCCCACGTCAATCATTACAGTATCATTCACTTTCGGCGGAAAATCGGAGAACAAAACAAGAAAAAAAGAAAAAGAAAAGCAACAAGCACTCATGTACGTACTGTAACATACACTTGCTAAGCACCGTTGCTGCTCTGCGTCTTCTGTTTTCGTTCGCATTTAGCATCTCTCTCTCTCTCTCTCTCTATCTTTTGTGCGGAGAGACTCTTTGCGTTTCTGGAGTAATCTGCGCCAACTGTAACTACTACTTTTTACTCTACACACTTCACGCACAACTATTTCGTTCATGAAAATCCTGCTGTGCTGAGAAAATGTGCGAATTGGGATAGGGTTTAGGGTCTTGAATCGAATTGACGGATAATAGGGAATTTTCCAGGTACCAAAATCATATCTTTTTTGGTTTACCTATTGTAATGTTTCTCTGCTGAGAAAGTGTGGGAATTGGGGATTTGGGAAGGAAAGTTTAATGTTTAATTTTTAATTTTTAATTTTATATATACGATTCTTAAATTTATATATACGATTCTTAAATTTAATAACTTCGGGCTTATGAAAGTGGCAACCGTACAAAAACACGGATTTTGTTTGATCTTTTTCGGTCCGGTGTTTTGGTAAGCTTAAGTTTGGGTTTTTCTTTACCATTTTGCTGATTATTACTAAATGCCTAATGCAGTGATTGGGTACACACTGGATTTGCATGTCTGACTATTCACTTGCATATCACTGTGCGCCTCCCTGCTTTCTTGTTTTGTTTGTAAAAATGGTTATGCGTTGGGTCATTAGATTTGCATGAGGATTTGTTGTATGATTTTGAACTGAGTAAGGCCCTTTACCTGTTGCTTGAGGAAAAAAAAGACGAGGTGTTGCTTTGAGGCCAATATGTCATAAATGTTGATGGAAGATAGTTTGTTTCTTTATGTTCACAAAGGGGCTCACAATTTCTATTCTCATTCAGGTTGATAAAATTTATGCACCAGGACCTGAAGCTGAGCTTGTACAGCGGCATGGGATTTGATAATGAGTGCGTATTGAATATCCAATCTCTTGCCGGAGAGTACTTTTGTCTGGTTTGTAGTCTGCTTGTCTACCCGATGAAGCATTGCAGTGACAGTGCACTCATCTATACTAGAAGCCATGTTTGACATACGTTGTGAGCCCTACCTGACAGTTCCCATATGACAGCTACTTAGTGACAGAAGCCGATGCCAAGGTCCTTCCTTATACAACCTTGGTCGTAACAAATATCTTTGATCTTTATTATCTGCTTATGGATACAGCTTTACTGTAACTAATCAATGCAGCCACTTGTCGAACCGAATAAGACCCACCCTGAAACCATAGGAAAAGTAGCAGTTCATTGCCTCTATCACAGGAGTGGATGCACATGGCAGGGAGCTCTGGATGTGCCTTTGGCAATTCTCCTGTAGTATGCAACAGGTGTGGAATCCAAATTGTGCATCGTCAGGTGCAGGAGCATGCACAAAATTGCCCTGTGAGTATTTTAGTTTTTTTTTCCTTACAAGATGAAAAGTTACTATCTGGAATTTAGAAATGATTTTATGGTTATCTTTTAATGACAGGGTGTGCAGCCTCAAGAGCAGCAGGCTGATGGTGCTTTGGACACTCCAGCTTCTGGCACATCAGCCACTGCTGATCAGACCCAGGCTGCCACTCAGTCAGGAGTAGCGAAGTCTCAGGCCCAGGTTTTTCAAATTACAAGTGTCACTCCACCTGGATCCGATCCAGATCAGAAAGCAAACTCTAGTTCTCAAGCTGTTGTTCAAGCTGCTGTGCAAACTGCTGAACAGTGGTACCAACATCAGCAACAATATCAACAGTACTACCTTAAGAACTACTTTACCTATCAACAGGCAGCAGTTCAACAATCACAGCAGCGGCATTTGCAATCTCATCCACCATACAGGACAGTCCAGCATCAATCTCGGGCATACTCGCAATCTCAGCCCCAAACTCAACCTTCACTACGGGCCCAACTATCTCAATCTCAAGCTCAACCCCAACCCCAAATTCAGCCCCCGCATGTGCAGGTTCCTGTTGCCTCTCAAACTCAAAATCAGGCACAAGTGAACAAACAGCAGCAACTTCACCCTGCAGTGCAGACTTATCCAGCTGCTCGTAGGCAGCCACTCCCTCAACCTCAATATTTCCAAGCTCCATCCCATTCACAACCACATCCTCAGCATGTGCAAATGTCTCATAATCAGCAAGCCCAAATTCAGCAACATACCCACTCCAAGATTCACCCGCAACACCATCCCATTTCTCAACCCCAACCTCATTCACAACCTCAGCCACAGCCACAGCCACAGCTTCAACGGCATCCCCAGCCCCATCCCCAACTTCACCCTTCTCAGCACATGAATACTACCGTCCAGCCTCAGACACAACATCCATCATCTCATGCAGTGACTGGTAATCACTTGTACCCTCAACCTCACCTTCACCAACCAGTGCAGTCAGGCGCCCCACAACAACGTACTATGGACATGCAATCTCATGGTGTACCTCACTCTCAGTCACAAACTCCTGTTCAAATACAGAGTCAGTCCCCTCAACAACCCCCAGTCATGCGGCTGCCCCCATCTCATATTCCAAACCAGCAGCAGCCAGCTTTGTTGCCTTCTCCTGGTCAAATCCGAAACATTAATCCTGCACAACAGCAGCCGGTTCACTCTTATGCTCAGCAACCTGGGAATACTGTTCAACAGAGCCCTCTTATGCATTCAGTTCAACGATCGATTCCTCGTCAATATCTCCACCATCAGCCCTATGTACAACAGCAACCACCTACACAGTTACATCCCCGGGTTCAATCTCATACATTCCCTCTGCATGTTCATGCCTATACACAGTCTCAGCGGAACATTGCATTGTCTCAGGGCATTCAACTTAGCCAGTCTAATCTTGGCGGAAGCAGAAGGCCTATATGCCAATTCATGGAGTACAATCTCAGACCTCTGTACAAACTGCTGGAGGTCTTCACATGAGGCCAGTGCATCCTGCTGTAAATCTTCCATCTACAAATCAGAGCAATATGGTCAGAACAAAAAACCTAGTGCACTCTGGAGCGAACTGGAGACCAACCATGTCTGAGAGGCATGCTGAGCAAGAATCTGAGTCATCAGCTCAGCAAATTGCTAAAAATGTTACACATGATGTGGGTACAGCATCTGCTGTGGTAGGTGATGCCGAGGTTAAAACTGTGAAATCTGAGATGGATATGAAGTCCATTGATAATGAGGTTAAACCTACTGGTGAAGATAAAACTAATCATGGTGAAACATCTTCCAAGGAGATTCCAGATATACATGCACTTGAAAATGGAGAGTCTGTAAGTCAATCAATGTTGAATGCAGCTGATCAAAATAAGGTACGAAAATCGGGGGTGGCAAGAGGGAGGCATTATAGAGGGGTGAGGCAGAGGCGGTTGGGGAAGTTCACGGCTGAGATTCGGGACCCAGCTAAGAAGGTATCCAGAAACAGAGTGTGGCTTGGGTGCTATGAGACCTCTGAGGAAGCGGCTTTGGCTTATGACAGAGCCGCCCAACGCATACATGGCTCCAAGGCTTTGCTCAATTTCCCAATCTGCCACACCAGATTGCCTTGAACGAGCCTCCACCTGTCCGAGTCACTGGCAAGCTCAAAGAACCAGAGAAAGAGGCTGCCACTGCTTCAACAACGCCGAAATCCAGTAAGAGGACCACTCCTCGGCGGCTGACCATGATCATCAAGCAAATGTGTTTCGGACAATGCAAAAGAATAGTATGGGTCTGCTGTCACTTGGCGAGAAACTATTGGTTAGCTAGCTGTTCATTATATAAGTTGTTCACGAACTCTACAAACATCACCCTTTTGCTCTTATATTTTTCTGTACAGTTGTACCTTTACTTATTGCAGCTGACCCTCTCTTTCCCCGAGTAAGTGTGTAACATCGTGTCTACTTTGTACACATATTCAGCTGCTTTTGTTGGAATTTGTTCCTACTTATATGTATATGTGGTGAAAATATCTACGTCTTTTCAAATTCTTTATGAAATTATGGTTTTGTTATATGTTTTAAAATTTTCTCTGTACAACAAATTAAACTTGAAAAATATTTTTTTGTCTGAAACTCTTTTTATGAATGACGAAAGATGATTCAAAAAACCTATATGACAAATTAAACTTCTAATGGAAATATTTTTTTCATTATATCTTTTCACTAAGTTTTCAGCTTCCCTCGGTAATGTTGAAATCGTAACAGTAAAAATATTTAGCTTTCCAAGTTCATAGGGTGGCGAAGTTTTGAAAGTGTTGAATTTTTTCTTGTTCAGATGAGATGGCATATGAACACTTGAATTCTTCAAGTGCGACTTTTCTTGGTATTAGGATTTTGTATTTGGGTTGTTTTGAGGTAGTCTAGCTTGAACTATCGTCAGGTAAGTTGCCCTCCACCCATTCTTTTTGTTTTTATATTTTTAAGTTGTGATCCAAACTGTTTTCTCTGAGTACCTTTGTTTTGTTAAAATTAATTACTTTGTAGTGTTGAGCTGTTTTGACTGATTTGTGGGTATTCTGCTTGGTATATTTTAAATTGTAGCTTGGTCTCTTGGTTCTGAAAGGATGGTAGCAGAGTTAGCTTCATAGAGTCAGATAATTATTTCATTGATGTTCTCCTTAGTCTATTGACAATGCCTATGGGAAAAATTGTTAGGCTTTCCAGTAGTTATTCACTTCCAATGGGAGTTGGTTGCATGAACAATTTATATCGAAGTGTCCATGATATTGATGAACAGATTTTGCTAACTGAAGAGTGTTGTGCCATGCTGCTGTGCCCCCACAATGCAGCTGAATCCTTTTTAAGTTGGCTTAAATTGAATTTGATGATTGTGAGACCACACTTCAATTCTTCAATAATCCATGTTGCCTCCTCTGTACGAAAAGTTTTAGTAATTATGCAAGTGTTAGTTGTTGCCATTGTGGTGATCTGATGGATCAGGGGATCAATGTTTCAGCAAATCGTGGTCAGCTTGGTGGGGTGATTGTAGACCGGCAAGACAGACTTATACTTACTCTCCTTTTCTTTCCAAGCTTGGAGTTGTGGATCCAAAAGCTACTGAGGAGAGGACTTTCAATGTAGGCGTTGATGAGGTTATTCTAGTGATAACATATTAGTATGTGCTAACCTTTCTTGGACTGCAACACTGGTTTCTGATCTCTGTCTTTTACTAGGTTGTGAACTTGCTTATGTGCTCATCAGTCCCCAAGACACCCTTTACTGATATGCTGCTCAAGCCTAAACCAGAAGCACAATTGATCAACGAATTTTGTGATCAGCGAATATCTATAATTTCTCAAGTGGCAGAATACACCATGCGTGGTGATCCAAACATTTCTTTTACACTTATAGTTAGCTAGTCAACCAAGAAGGTTTGCTATGCTGAAGCAGGTGAAGATTTTGTAATTTTTTTTCTTCAGTTTCCTTATTGTTCAACTTGGGTTTATACTGAAGCAGATAGGCGATGGTTCTTCTTGGAAAGGATGCATTGATAACTTGTACAAGAGTGTAGAAGATATTGATGGCCAATACTTGATGTCAACTTCCCACAAAACAATTCTACTTAGTCCCAAGCTAGCCCCTGGTTTTAGCTATGCTAACCATCCTTAGGAATTGAGGGAGCCACTTCCCACTCTAATATATCAGAGAAACCAGTTTTTGTAGACCCCCCAAATCATGATTGTGTTGGAGGATTCTTAAGAGCTCCGGCAATGTACATGGTAATTGATAGCCTGATCGTAAGATCGTTATTGCCAATCTTTGGCCTCTCCGTTGTGACCAATTGAGTGTACCTGTCACTGACATTGAAGTGCAATGAATCTTGGCAAGGCGGAGGTGAGTTATATATTTGATTTGCAATTTCTGATTTACTGTTTGAACTCTGGATTTATTTTAGATTTGTAATGTCTTTGAAATTGTTTGTATTTGACTCTCCATAGACCTGAACTTCTACTTGGGGTGTCCAACTATGATGGGTTGAAGTTGAACAGTAGAAGGTGGCATTGTTTTGTATATATTGTGACCTTTTTTTCCCCTCTTTTAGTTGTTGATGTTTTTATGTTTTGTACTGCAGGCTGTGAGTCTTTTGGTGGCTGCGTTTCTTTTTTACTCTCCTCTAACTGGTTTCTATAGGATGACAGATCAAGAACAATAGAGGCTGTTTTTAAAAGCTATCGTCGGAAGGCCGTTGCTTTTGAAATGATCTAGTTGTTTTATTTGTACCAAAAACTTTCTACTGCTCAACTTTAAAGGGAAACAGCTTTTTTGTGAAAAACAGAGGAGGATGTATTTGTTGAAAACATTAGCACCAGTAGACAAATTGTTGTTTGGGGCTATCAAACAAGAAGTAGCTATCACTTGTTCTTTCTTTAGCTGCCAAAGGAAGACACTGGTGAGATCAGAGTCAGAAATAAAAGAGGTCACGAAAAGATCTAGAGCCTGCAGCGAGTAACAAAAGAGAAGATTAATAATTGAACGAATTTTTATTTTGGCTTAATCACCTGTACAAACAAGTGCATTTAGAAAACACTGACATCCTCATTGCCAACATGCACAGCTTGCTCCTCAAGGCCAGTGAAAGACATCTTCAGTTCATTCGTAACAACAGAAAGAGCGAACAAAGGAGAATAGGCCTTATAATCAAACTGTCAGTAAAAGTATGAGCTTATATGGTTCTGTCCCTAAATCCTAATAATCCTAATAGACGGTTCTCGTAACAAAAACCGTGATAAAGCTTGCTCATCAAGATCCTGATCCCTCTCATGCAAATGGTCAATGCATCCTTTCAAAGAGCTATTGTGCAAATGTTTTAAGGCAAACCCAAGAGGAATGGTTAGGAAACTAAAAGAGTAACGTAACAAAATCCTCCCTGCTTCTGCATAACAAAACCATTAGCTTCATTCGCATAAAATTATGCCGGGTACCAATTAGAAGCACATTTTTACATTTTTACAGTTTTACTCTAAGATGGTAAATTCCCCAAAAAAGAAAAAAATGGCATCATCACCAACGGCGTCGTATCATTCACTTTCGGTAGAAAATCAGGAGTTTTTATCAATAATAGCCAAAATTTACACCCCAATTTCATAAATGTCAATTTTTATAAAAACTTTCAAATATAGCCAAAAATTCACTTAAATTGACACAAATACCCTCAAAATTAAAATATAATTACCCATAAAACCAACCTCTTCACATTATCTATATTACTAAAACAACAAAACAAAAAAAAGGAATTTTTTTCCACAAACGAAGACTAAAGTCCCAATTATGCTACTTCTTAAGTATCACCACAAACACAAACATAGAACCTCAAAGATTGACCATGAAGAAATTCAAAATCCCATTTTGTTTTTGCTCGACTTTTGTAGATCCAAAACTTCCCCTTTCTAATAATTAAAAACCTTCAACCAAAAACAATGGAACCCATATCAAGATAAACACAGCAAAATCGCAACAATATTTGCCTTATGTTGGTTTTTATGTTCCAAAAGAATACAAACACAATTCATTTTATTTAATTTAAGAGAGTGCAAGGGAGATATTATTATATTAATACAGTTTGAAATTAAAAGGAAAAATCACATACGACAATGCAGAAGCATTTTATTCAACATCAAATAAAGAATTGGAAAAATATGGTATTCTAGTTTTAGGGTGAGAGAAGAAAGAAAAGCGATTGAATTTGTCAAGTCCATCAAACTTGAAATAAAATTGGGGTTTTGAGTTTTTAAGTAGAGTTTAGGGTTCATCGCCATAACTGGCCACCATAGTTGTGAGTAAGCTTGGGCACCGTTGTTGTGAGTTATTTGATTTGTAAGTTTTTTTGTTATTTGGTTTAATTTTGAGGGTATTTGTGTTAATTTAAATGGATTTTTGGCTATATTTGAAAGTTTTTATAAAAACTGACATTTATGAAATTGGGTATAAAATTTGGCTATTATTAATAAAAACTCGAAAATCAGAGAACAAAAGAAGAAACATATAACATAAACACAACATACACTTGTTGGCACCGTTGTTGCTTTGCGTCTTGTGTTTTCAGTTCGCGTTTAGCATCTCTCTCTCGCTCTTGTGCCGAGAGACTCTTTGCGTTCTTCGAGCAATCGGCGCCAACCGTAACTACTACTTTCTACTCTACACTCTTCACGCACAACCATTTCGTTCATGAAAACCTTAAGATTTATTTTATCTTTTCTGTTTTGACAGGTTTAACTGGGCTAGGGTTTAGGGTCTTGAATCGAATTGACGGACATTAGAGAAATTTCAAGGTACCAAAATTATGCTGTTTTGGTTTACCTAGTGTAATCTTTTGCTTCTGAGAAAGTGTGGGAATTGGGGATTTGGGAAGGAAAGTTTTATGTTTTAAAAAAAAAAAATTTTTTAAATGTACGATACTTAAATTCAATAACTTCAGGTTTATGAAAGTCGAAACCGCACTCATCTAAATCTGAAAACGCACAAAAACACGGATTTTGATTGATCTTTTTCGGTCTGGATTTTTTGGTACGCATAGGACAGTTTGGGTTTTTCTTTTCGATGCCATTTTGCTGATTATTACTAAATGCTTAATGGAGTGATTGGGTACGCACTGGATTTGCATGTCTGAATATTCACTTGCATATCATTGTGTGCCTCCCTGCTTTCTTGTTTGGTTTGTGAAAATGGGTAATTGCGTTTTTGCGTTGGCTCATTTTCTTCTTCTGAGGATTGTTTGTATGATTTTGAACTGAGTGAGGCCCTTTACCTGTTACTTTGACGAAAAATAAGATATGTTGCAATGAAGCCAATTTGTCATAAATGTTGATGGAAGAAAGTTTGTTTCTTTATGCTAAAAAAAGGGGCTCACAATTTTTTCACTCATTCAGTTGATAAAATTTATGCACTAGGACTTGAAGCTGAGCTTGCAAGGCGGCATGGGATTTGATAATGAGTGCATATTGAATATCCAATCTCTTGCCGGAGAGTACTTTTGTCCAGTTTGTCGTTTGCTTGTCTACCCAAATGAAGCATTGCAGTCACAGTGCACTCATTTATACTGCAAGCCCTGTTTGACATACGTAGTGAGCTCTACCCGAGCTTGTCCATATGATGGCTACTTAGTGACAGAAGCAGATGCCAAGGTCCTTCCCTATACAACCTTGGTCGTAACCAATATATCTGATCTTTACTGTCTGCTTATTGATACAACTTTACTGTAACTAATCAATGCAGCCACTTATTGAATCAAATAAGTCCCTTGCTGAAACCATAGGAAAAATAGCAGTTCATTGCCTCTATCACAGGAGTGGATGCACATGGCAGGGACCTTTATCTGAGTGTACATCTCATTGTTCTGGATGTGCCTTTGGCAATTCTCCTGTAGTATGTAACAGGTGTGGAATCCAAATTGTGCATCGTCAAGTGCAGGAGCATGCACAAAATTGCCCGGTGAGTATTTTGGTTTTCTTTTTACAAGATGAGAAGTTACTATCTGGAATTGATTTTATTGTTATCTGTCAATGACAGGGTGTGCAGCCTCAAGCGCAGCAGGCTGAGGGTGCATTGGATACTTCAGCTTCTGGCACATCAGCTACTGCTGATCAGACCCAGGCTGCCACTCAGTCAGGAATAGCAACATCTCAGGCCCAGGTTTCTCAAACTACAAGTGTCACAGCACCTGGACCTGATCCTAATCAGAAAGCAAACTCAAGTTCTCAAGCTGTTGTTCAAGCTGCTGTGCCGTCTGCTGAACAGTGGTACCAACATCAGCAACAATATCAACAGTACTACCAGCAGTATCCTGGGTATGATCCATATCAACAACAATATCAGAACTACTATCCCTATCAACAGCCAGCAGTTCCACAATCACAGCAGCAGCATTTGCAGTCTCATCCACCATATGGGACAGTCCAGCATCAATCTCAGACATACTTGCAATCGCAGCCCCAAACTCAACCTCCACTACAGCCTCAATTATCTCAATCTCAAGCTCAAGCTCAAGCTCAACCCCAACCCCAACCCCAAATTCAGCCCCCACATGTGCAGGCTCCTGTTGCCGCTCAAACTCAAAATCAGGCACAAGTTAACCAACAGCAGCAACTTCACCCTGCAGTGCAGACTTACCCGGCAGCTCATGGGCAGCCACATCCTCAACCCCTACCATATTTCCAAGCTCCAACCCATTCACAGCCACATCCTCAACATGTGCAAATGCCTCATAATCAGCAAGCCCAAATTCAGCAACATACCCAGTCCCAGCTTCTCCTGCAACAGCATCCCATTTCTCAACCCCAACCTCATTCACAACCTCAGCAACAGGCACAGCTTCAACAACATCCCCAGCCCAATCCCCAACTTCACCCTTCTCAGCCCATGAATGCTACCATCCAGCCTCAGACACAACATCCATCATCTCATGCAGTGACTGGCAATCACTTGTACCCTCAACCTCACCTTCACCAACCAGTGCAGTCAGGAGCCCCACAACAACGTACTATGCATGTGCAATCTCATGGAATGCCTCACTCCCAGTCACAAACTCCCATTCAAATACAGAGTCAGTTCCCTCAACAACCCCCACTTATGCGGCCGCCCCCATCTCATACAACAATTCCAAACCAGCAGCAGCCACCTTTGTTGCCTTCTCCTGGTCAAATCCAAAACATCAATCCTGCACAACAGCAGCCTGTTCACTCTTATGGTCACCCACCTGGGAATACTGTCCATCAGCGCCCTCATATGCAGGCAGTTCAACAACCGACTCCTCAGCAATATTTCCACCACCAGCCTTTTGTACAACAGCAACCACCTACACAGCTACGTCCCCAGGGTCAATCTCATTTGTTCCCTCAACATATTCATGCCTCTACACAGTCTCAGCAGAACGTTGCATTGTCTCAGGGCATTCAACATACCCAGTCTAATCTTGGCGGAAGGCCTATGATGCCAATTCATGGAGTACAATCTCAGACCTATGCACAAACTGCTGGAGGTGTTTACATGAGGCCAATGCATCCTGCTGCAAACCTTCCATCTACAAATCAGAACAGTATGGTCAGCACAAACAACCTAGTGCAGTCTGGAGCAAACTCGGGACCAACTACGTCTGAGAGGCAAGCTGAGCAAGAATCTGAGTTATCGGCTCAGCAAAATGCTAAAAAGGTTGTACATGATGTGGGTACAGCATCTGGTGTGGTAGCTGATGCGGAGGTTAAAACTGCGAAATCTGAGACGGATATTAAGTCCATTGATAATGAGAATAAACCTACTGGTGAAGATAAAACTAATCAGGGAGACACATCTTCCAAGGAGATTCCAGATGTACATGCACTTGAAAATGGAGAGTCTGTAAGTAAATCAATGTTGAAGGAAGAGGGTGTGGATGGTACTCTAGACCATTCAAGTAACGGTAAATTGGGTGAAGTTGTAGCTGAGGGTGCAAAAGATGTTTCCAGCAGTGACATGAAACAGAGAGAGCTTAAAGAAATCCCAGCTGAAGAAGCTCAACTTCATGAAGAACAGGGTCGGATGTTGCAGAAGGATGCTAGTGGCAATCCGCAGCCTTTTATTGGCACTGATGAGGGATCTCAAGCTGTATCTACTTCAGCTCCAATATCTGATCAAGGAAAGCATCTGCCTCATCATGGACCTACTACAATCCCACAAAGACCTGGCGCACCTCTTTTGTTACAAGTGCCTCCAGGACCTCCTCATCATACACAGGGGCCTGGGCATCATCTAAGGCCTCCAGGGCCTGCACATGTTCCTGGACAGCCTTTTCATTCATCTGAGCATTTCCAGCCACATGGTGGCAACCTGGGCTTTGGAGCATCATCTGGCAGGGCAGGTCAGTATGGTCCTCAAGGAAGCATCGAACTACAATCTGTTACTCCGCATGGGCCTTATAACGAAGGTCATTTACCATTTCCACCCACTAGTGCTTTTGATTCTCAAGGTGGCATGATGTCAAGAGCAGCACCAATTGGACAGCCATCTGGTATCCACCCAAATATGTTGAGGATGAATGGAACTCCAGGCCTTGACTCCTCATCAACTCATGGGCCGAGGGATGAAAGGTTTAAGGCTTTTCCAGGCGAGCGGTTGAATCCCTTCCCAGTGGATCCGACACATCATGTTATTGACCGAGTAGAGTTTGAAGATGATCTGAAGCAATTCCCTAGGCCTTCGTATCTGGATTCTGAGCCTGTTGCAAAATTTGGGAATTACTCGTCAAGGCCATTTGATAGGGCACCTCATGGCTTCAAGTATGATAGTGGTCCGCATACAGATCCTGCAGCTGGCACTGCTCCATCAAGGTTCCTGTCTCCCTATCGTCTTGGTGGTTCAGTGCATGGGAATGATGCAGGAGATTTTGGGAGAATGGAGCCTACTCATGGTCATCCAGATTTTGTTGGACGGCGTCTTGTGGATGGTTTGGCTCCTCGAAGCCCAGTTAGAGATTACCCTGGCCTCCCACCTCATGCGTTTAGAGGCTTTGGCCCTGATGATTTTGATGGCAGGGAGTTTCATCGATTTGGTGATCCACTTGGAAATCAATTCCATGAGGGTAGGTTTTCTAGTTTGCCTGGTCATTTTCGTAGGGGAGAGTTTGAGGGTCCTGGTAATCTGCGAATGGTTGATCATAGAAGGAATGATTTTATTGGTCAAGATGGTCACCCTGGTCATCTTCGGAGGGGAGATCATTTAGGTCCTCACAACTTGCGAGAACCTCTGGGTTTTGGTTCTCGTCATTCACGCATGGGAGACATGGCTGGGCCCGGGAACTTTGAGTCATTTCGAGGCAACAGGCCCAGTCATCCTCGCCTTGGTGAGCCTGGATTTCGAAGCAGCTTTTCACTTCAGAGATTTCCAAATGATGGAACTTATACAGTTAAGTATTTGCTTCAGTCATTAGCATTATGTGTGTGAAGTGATGCTAGTAAGTAGAGCTCCTAGTGGGATACTTTATTTTTATTTGTTTTTTAAGTTCAACTTTTTGATGGTATGGATATCTTCAGGGAGATCTGGAGTCTTTTGATCACTCAAGGAAAAGGAAGCCAGCTAGTATGGGGTGGTGTCGGATCTGTAAAGTTGATTGTGAAACAGTTGAAGGCTTGGACTTGCATTCACAAACAAGGGAGCACCAGAAGATGGCTATGGATATGGTACGAAGCATTAAGCAGAATGCCAAAAAGCAGAAACTGTAAGTTCTCCGTGCATGTCACAGTTACTGCTTGACTTCATATTTGATTTTTTTTTTCTTTTATCTATTTTTCTTTTCCATTTATGGTTTAGAAGTCTGGTTGTGTGTGTGTTTTTTTAAATTTTGTTTTGCTTCTTTTTGTAGAACCTCTGGTGATCAGTCCTTATTAGAGGATGCAAACAAGTCAAAAATTCCAGTATTGAGGGCCGGGGAGAAAAGCATTGATTGATGATGGTGTGCTGCAATGTGGATCTCTTTGGTTGCATTTCACTTGGGGTCCAATTGTTTCTTTGGTATTATTGCGTTAGCAATATAGGTGATGCACCCTTCCATGCCTCTTTTTTCTACATTTGGGGTGGTTCATGCTAGTTTTGTCATTTCAGGTTGCTGCCATGTTAATGGAGATGGTATTTGGAACTGGAGTTCAATGGCAGTTAAGTTTGTTGGTTTTTGACTCTCAAGTTTTCTAACTAGGATTGTTTTCTGTTGACATTATCATCATTAGAAATTCAAAAGTGGTATACTGCTATCACTTCTTTTGCATTTGGAGCTGAGATGGCATTTGGTTTATAGCATTCTTGAATGTATCTTTTACCCTTCCAATTCTTATATTTCAAGTTCGTTCATGTTTTGTTTGTTATACTCGGTACGATGAAAAAGTTGGAATTTTACAAGATTATTAGCCAGGAAAACTTGATGTGATGAAATTTCAGAATGAGTGGATCCTGGAATATTAAAGTATGGTACAACAGGAGATGATAGAATCCGGAATGAATCAACAAAATCCTGTATTGTGTTACAGATCTGTTAGAATTATTGTGATAATAAAGAATCCGATGGTGGTCTAGTGATGGCATTGTCGTTTTTATCATGTTCTGTAGTTCAGATGTGTATTTTTTGTTAGAAAGGATCTCATTGCTACACAGCTCTCAAAACATGGACATTACCTTGAACATTAAGGCTCTCTAATATAAGTATTTTCCTTTATTGTATATAACTTTGTAATTTTACATTATTGTCATTAGAGTTGGCAACAATACCTGATTTCAAGTTTTGGAAGTATCTATGATGCTGTCTGAATTGTTTCTTCTTTTTTATTATGAGCAGAGGCACTTCTGTATGTAGTGTGATATTAATTAATCGACCTCATCCTTGGTACTTAATTGGTAGAAATTGAACTGACCATGTTAATCAGAGTAGTTATTAATTTTTTTACTAAAATTTCACCCCAATTGTTCTCAATTGTAGCTTAGTTGGAGGTGCTAAAAGGATGCTTGCAAAGATATAAGGAGTTTCTCTAAATTGATCAAACTTACTGACAAATAATTCTTAATCTCTAGTACTGTAGTAGATTTAAAAACTCAATATTTGGGGTGTATAGGCCTATAGAAAGCAATGGCTTTAGTGCACTTTACTATGTAGGTTATACAGGGAAAATTCAAGTGACTCCTAAGAAAAAAGTGAGGGAGCCTAAGGAATTAGGTATTTTGAGACTATGATCGTATATCTTAGAGGCTTTATTTTTTCTTTTTCTTTTTTCAGTAGTTATCACGGATAGCTTCATACTGTTGTTTGTTGGACTACAGACCTACTATCTATTATATTATTATCTCTATTTTGTGGCTTGTGAATCAGCATTTATTTGAAGGATATTGTTTTGCTGAGAAACTAGGCTATGAGACAAATATTTGCTTTGCTGGCCATATTGGTTGGAAATTGGTCAACCTAAGCAATTGAACAATCTGGCGAACACAATTAAGCTGTATATTCTGCAGTTGCTGGTTACTTTTACTGGTCTAGTACTATCGGATATGGCTGATGCTGTCAGCATAGGATACATTGATGTTGGACAAGAGGAATGCTATTTGGTGTAGGGCAGAAGCAGAAGCTGCTGTCTGGGTGGTGTAGACGTACAAAACCATGCTAGAGAAGGGATATTAAGCACTAAATAATGGTCAAAACAAGAGATAGAAAGCTACAAGATTTTTAAATCAATAAGAAACAGAGAAAGAAAGAAATAGGATCATAGTTGGAATGTTGATAAATTAGTTATAGGGCAAAGATACCAAAGTGAGACTACATTCTGATTTTGTGGAACAAAAGACTGCATAAAAAGCCTCTAAATAGGGTATATATGCTGGGGTTACAACCCTAGCATCCTAGCCCTTGATTACTTCAATAACTAGTCAATCTTAGCCTCCAAAAATACTTACTCACATGACTATTGCCTGACTATTAAAAAGAGACTAGGAGAAATACTATAAGCTACAAACAACATAACACATAAAAATCAAACAGGACAAATAAAAGATAAGCATAAAACTGAAACCACCTAAACCAAATGCTCCCGCAGATGCTCCTGAATCATTATAACAAGTTTCTGTTTGTTTACCTAGTAGCTGGAGGTTGATCTTGTCTCATTATTTTTACATATGGAAAGGCTTTTATGAGAAATTTCACGAGTTCAATTTCTTTTATCTTTATTGCTATTTCTCTTTTTACTGAATTGACTATTGATTCTTATTATTTTTAGCTTCTAAGGTCGATTTTGTAGTTGATTTTTATTTTTGGTGGAATTTCTCTTTTTCTATAATAGATCTTTTCAATTCGACCTGTCTTTTTTCGGCGAAGCAGACTACGTAAGGGCTGAAAGTTTAGCAGAGAGGTTTACTCTGTCATCTGTTTTTGATGTGGTAAGATTGTGTTCAATGTACAGATTTTATTTTGAGGCAAAATTTGCTTGTTAGTGTTGATTTCATTGTCATGCTGATATGTTGGGGGTTCTATCTGTTTCTACATATTTACTATTGTGTATACAAACGGTACATCCTTTGAAGGGCCAGGATAACCTTAGGAAACTTAGGAGGGTTGTAAATTTGATTGCCTTTCATCTTTAGATACTAGCTCTAAGAAGCCATAGGCTTAAATTATTGTATGTGTACTGGAATTGTTAGTGGTAGGGCTCACGACTTATCTAGCATATTGCATAATGACAGGCTGATGGCTGTTTTTAATTTTACCGTTGCATTTCGTGGATTAATTTCATTCTTTTGTTTTTAACACTTGGGTGATGCATCTTTGGAACTGTTTTAAATTTCTTACATATCAGAAAAACTTGCAGTCTTATGTTTTCATAATTGTAAAAAAAATATATATATATATATATATCTTGGACTGTGACGGGGAATACTTTGACGGCTCTTTTAAATTATTAATCCATGAAAACCTTAAGAGTCTGTTTCTCATAAAAAGAAGAAAGAAAAAGTCTGAGCGTTTCTTTTGTCTAACACCATCAAAAGATCTCCTGATATGACTAAAGAGTTTCTCTTGTTCATGAAGATTTTTTCTTTCGTTCGTTCTTTCTTTTTCTTTGGGGAACTTCATGGGAATCACCACAACTACTGCATATCAAAAGATATGCAATTGCAGTCTCAAACCTTTCTTTGATGCTTGTAATGTATTCATTTTGCAGACCTGTTAGAGTATTTTTGTTTGTCTAAGTAGCCTTCGTTACTTTTCTTCTCTTGCATTTTAGATAAGCAAATTCTGTTTCGTATGGTTGGTTTTAGACTAAAACTAAAAGACTGTTTTTACCTCTTCTAAGAGTGAACAGATTTCTTTAACCTTCCTGGTTATATGGGAATTTGATTTGGATATTACACATGAAATTAGGGAAATAAGGTACCTTTTTTCACATATTGGAATGATACTGTCAACGCTAACCAGCTCTAAATTCATAATGGAGTAAGCTTATTTATATTTTTCTGCATTTGTGCGATAATGTTGACAAGATCATGAACTTGTTTCATAATGAATTCTAAAATTTATGATTTACTAGCAATATCTTTTATTTATTTCAGAAAGCATATATTCACAATGCATGTTTCATCTCACTTGCAGTCACAGCGTTCTCTCTTGTCCTTCCTCTTGTTTTCCTTCAAACTTAAAGAAGAAATTGGTCTTTTCCTTCTCGTTCCCACTTTCGATTGAGTACACTGGAATCTTAGTTTTATTCAACAAGATTACCGTAACTTTTATGGGTGACTTGGGTACGTTCTGATATAGGAAAACTTTAAGGGATGATCATGCTTTCAAGCCAAGAAAATTTGTTATAATAGTCCAGGTCATTTGTGATCAGGGGCATATGCCAAAGCGTTGCCAATTTGCATGCAATCCAATGAATAATGCAGAACTGAGCAACTTAAATGATAACTACACTGAATAAAATACACAATATTTATTTAACCGGAGAAAAAAAAAACACGATTTGGAACCTGCACCTGCTCTAGATGCTTAACTTTTACATGAACTCAAGTAACTTTTGGATTTTATTGCTTTTGTCACACTCATGTTTTAAGTAATGCTGGACTAGGAAATATAAGTGTAGCTTATGGCTGACAAGAATAACACACAAGGTCCTGATCTGCGAAAAAGAAAAACCGGGAAAATTGTAATATGGTGAAAGCTAGGTGAGATAAGATAGTATGATGATTGCTTAGGCAGAGAGCTTGATTGATTACTTATATAACGTACAATGTAGGATGCTTACTGTTTTTTTCTAGTGCTAGCTTATTCTTGAAGGGTGTCTGTGGGTCTCCCCAAGCTGTGTAGAGAGAGATGAGGAGGTTCGTTCAGTCAAGCTATGGATGTTGTTCCCTACCTTCCAAAACTTTAATGCTTTTTCAAGGGCTTCGTTTCATCTGCAATTTTATCACAATCATGGGTTGATATGTTTGTATAGGAATATGATGTAAAGCTTTAGTTTTTGATTTTCTAAGACATTGCTTGGTCATGGGATCTCCATGAGAGAGAGAGAGAGAGAGAGAGAGCCTTGAGTGAAAATAGGTTTTGTGTTCCAGCACATGTATTATTAATTTCCCTCTCTAAAAGTAAGAATAAAATTAACTTTATTGTAATATATATATATATATATTTGTTGCCTTGTCAATTTTTGCTCTAGTGTAACTGCGTGACTTTTTTAAGCTCTGCAAAAAAGCTACCAAGAAAATAGGTCTACTTTTTCACAGCAAAGCGCTCCGAGTTTGTTGTGTTTGAATTTGGATCCTTTTCTTGCGTGGGCTAATAATTCAAGGTCATTATGGTTAAATTTTGAAATTTTCTGAAAATGCTCTTAATTAATTAATCTTTTAAAGAAAATACCATTTGTTATCTGAGGGTAAAAGAGTAAAGCCGCTGGTTATATACTAATCTTCCTCTCATTATATCGAG